CGCTCTCTTCGTACTTGATCTGCTTCTTGGTGGCGCGGCGCACGCTTCTGCCTGTCGCAGGATTGATTTCGGGCTCCTCCGACTCGGAGCGCTCTGTGAAGGAATCGTCTGACTCTATCTCGTCGTCGTCGTCAATATCAGAGCCGCCGTAGGCGCGTCGCTGGCGCTTGGAGGGCTTCTTCTTAGCTCCAGGCGTGTGTCGATTACGGCGCCGCTGGGGCGCGGCGCGTCTTTCCGAGTCGTCGTAATCGTAGTCGTCGGGGTCGGATGCGTTGGGGTCGATGTCGAACTTGCGCTTTGCTCGGCTAGACATGAGGACTCGTCGCGGTGAAGCCTGTTGCGGTCCTGCGGCACAATGTGAGTGAACGGGCCCGAAGAAGCGTCGCGGTGAGGGCGCGCTTACACCGCTGATTTAGATTTTCTGAGCTTCAAGATGACATTAGATGCAGGGAGATGGTCTGCTGCATATGCGCTGATGATGGCGAGTGTATGCGCGATGCTGGCGGGCGTGTCGCGTGGACGTCGTGTTGTTTTGAATTGGGGAGTGAAGACTCGATTGCGCGATGCACAGGTGAAGACGGCGCAGAAGTCAACAAAAGCGACTAACAGAAGAATTATTATCTTGATAAATGCCACCGAGAAGCGAAATGTTCGAGATAGGCAGATGTGGTCGAGGGGTGTTGGGGATGCGCTGAAGGCCGACGGGTCCCATCCCAAATACGCTAACTCAACCCGAACTCAGAACAAGGGAACACTTTTTAGATGCACCACCACAACAATAACGAAGCGCTTTATTTCTCGACTTCTGGCACTGCAAAATGCATCAAAATGCACAGAGATCGTCGAGTCGCTACTCTGCCAGCAAACTCCGCAGCTTTTCGGGAGTCTTCCGACATGTTTTGAATCACTATTTAAGCCCTTTCTTTTCTACTTGCAGCTCTTCTTGCCGTCGGTTCCTGCATGATCGACATGCGGCTCTAAAAGCTTAACGCGTTTAGAGCTTGCTGGCATGTGTGGGGAAGAGCGAACTATGCACGTGCACCACGTGCTGGAACGACTCTGGTCACCGCACCCCTGAGCATCGTCGCTAATAACGCAGAGATTCTGCTTCCGGGTTTATTTGCTGCGATTATGTACTTGTCTCTCAAATGACCTGCTACACTTAGTTGTTGTCATAGTCGTCGTTGTCATTGAAAGACGTTCGTACTTTGTCGTTGACCGACACGTATCTTATCAAGTCGAGTCGCATGAAATAACCGGTTCTGTGATAAAAGGAAGGGGGGGTCATTTGTCGGTAAGCAGTGTGTGCTTAGGTGTGGTGTTGAGTGCAGTTCAGGTGGGTATCGAGGCTAGGTAGTCGCTGGGTGTCGCCGCGAACATCGATTGAGATTCAGTCCATGTTCTGCAAGAATCTAGTACAAATTCTGCATACACGGCATAATGAGACGAGCTTCATGAAATATGCTCTGATAGATGTGATGCTACTCACTCTTGCAACAGGAGTAGAGCACTGGTGTGGTCGTAGAGCGTCCTCGTGACTGCGTTGTCAGGGCCCATCTCAGTTCTCGCTAGATACCAACTCTGAACAAGGCCTGGCGAGAATCGGACGACTTTCCGTCTCAACAATGTTTAATACTAGGTCCTCCTCAGCCCAGCTCACTCATTCAGTTGAGCTTAAAGTCGGTGTGCCTCATTTGTGTTGTGATAATCGCGGTCCGAACACTTTATACGCTCTTGACGCTATATACGCCGCATACGCGATTATTCTTCCAATGGTATGCTACTTGCTTACTTGGAGAAGAAGTAAAAGTCACTTGAATATGCAAATAATTGAAAGGGAACCTCCTCAAAAAGGATCACAATATTCTTACGTTGTCATTGATCATCGCGGAGCTGCCTCCGGATTGCCCATAGCAATACCACCCAGCGCAAGCCGAACCCCGCAGTTTGGCCATAGCTCTGCTCAACGTCATAGGCTCATAAAGCTCCACCAAACCCCATCCGAACACTAGCCTACGAGCAATTGGCGTCTTCAGGTGGGCTAAGCTATCTTTATTCCCACGTGTGCCGCCTTTAGAGGGGGCGAGTCCGTTGTAGTTTATAACCGATCTTCACACCCACTCATAGACGCCATGCGCTCTTTTGTAACAGCAACTCGATCACTCGGACGCCAACAAGCTTATAGAAGTTGCTTCCAGAAGAGGCCATTACCAGTAATTGTTTCGCGAGGATACGCCAACATGGGTCATTCAGTACCACCGGTATGTTTTGCCCTCAGCTGTGCGAGCATTGTGGATTGCGTAGGCGCTGACAGCTTGCACAGCTCAATGACAAGTCTCTCTTGAAGAGCCAGACATATGTCAACGGAGAATGGATAGATGCAAAGTCGGGCAAGACTTTTGAGGTCCATGGTATTTCTGTCTTTCAAACTCTTCAGAGACCGTCCCTTTAACTGGTAGCAGATCCTGCAACGGGCAAGCTCATTGGCACCATGCCTGAGATGGACCGCGCCGACACCGAAGCCGCCATCTCAGCAGCATCTGCCGCACTCCCTTCTTTCCGCAAACTTACCGGTCGCGAGCGCTCGCGCATGCTACGGAAATGGTATCAATTAATGATGGATAACGCGGAGGACCTGGCAAAGCTTATAACGTGGGAGAATGGAAAGCCCATGGCAGATGCTAAGGGCGAGGTCAACTACGCTGCGAGTTTCTACGAGTGGTTCGCGGAAGAGGCGCCACGCATGTATGGAGCCACCATCCCAGCCTCGGTTGCTGGTAATCGCGTGTTCACTATCAAAGAGCCCGTCGGTGTTGTAGGATTGATCACACCGTGAGTTCTGCACTCTGCCTTGGAGAAACATGGCTAACGATATCAGATGGAACTTCCCAGCAGCTATGATCACACGAAAGATTGGCCCAGCTCTAGCAGCTGGTTGCACTGTCGTTGCGAAGTCTCCTGGCGAGACACCTTTCACAGCAGCAGCTCTCGCCGAGCTTGCACACCGAGCAGGAATCCCTAAGGGTGTCGTCAACTTCGTCACAGCACTCAAGAACACACCAGAAGTTGGCGAGACCATCACATCAAGCAAAATCGTCAAAAAGGTCTCATTCACAGGATCAACTGGCGTCGGAAAGCTTCTGATGAAGCAGTCGTCGGACACGCTGAAGAAGCTTTCTTTTGAGCTTGGTGGAAACGCGCCTTTCATCGTCTTCGATGACGCCGACCTTGAGACAGCAGTAACCGGAGCTATCACATCCAAGTTCCGTTCCTCAGGCCAAACATGTGTATGTGCCAACAGGATTTACATCCAATCAGGTATCTACGATGAGTTCTGCACCAGGTTCACTGAGAAGGTCAAGAGCTTCAAGGTTGGTGGCGGTTATGAAGAGGGGATCACGCACGGCCCACTGATCCATGACCGCGCTGTCTCCAAGGTGGATGCTCATGTCCAGGATGCCGTCAAGAACGGCGCAAAGGTCTTGTTCGGAGGACAAAAGCTACCCGATCTTGGGGAGAACTTCTACCAACCGACAGTCCTCCGCGACATGACCAAGGATATGCAGCTCGCCAAAGACGAGACTTTTGGCCCTGTTGCTGGACTCTTCCCCTTCGATACAGAAGCCGATGTCGTTAGCCTCGCCAATGCGGCTGACGTGGGACTTGCAGGTTACTTCTTCAGCAAAGATATCCAGAGAGTTTATAGGGTGGCTGAAGCCCTCGAAGTTGGTATGGTTGGTGTCAACACCGGCCTTATCTCGGATGCAGCTGCACCTTTCGGAGGTGTCAAGGAGTCTGGATTTGGACGAGAAGGAAGTCACTTGGGTATCGAGGAATATGTTGTCACGAAGACGATTACCATGGGTGGAAATGGCCAGCCGTTGCAGGGCGAGTAGAAGATATCCACAGACGGCTTTGCGAGGTGGTTCAATAGAATCCATCACACCGAACTTCGTACATTACGTATGCGTGAATATGATAATTCTTACAATGAGGGTGGTGCTCAGGCTATGCATCATAGAAAGATACCCATAAAGTTTATGGGGATGTTCCGAGAAAAGCCGCTAGCGTGTCATGTTCGTGATTTTGGAGTTTAGTCCAACGCGTATCCCAAGGTCTACACAGCAACGCGCATCTGTACTATTGTGCCCTTTTGCCATTTTGGCACCTGGCCAACAACTCTATTTCTGCCACTATCACCATCCTACCAGAACGATGTGTTCCAGATAACCTTGACATGACTGAAAAGAGCCAATTGTGTCTTGGCATCGTGATCAGCAATCATTATCCACTGGTACCTCATCCGACAGAGCCCTAGAAGCGCTTGATGGCATTCGGTCGTCTAGTGCTCATCGCCGCCGAGAGCACATTGAAATATGTAGCACAGTCATACACATTTACCACAACCAATTCAACGTCTACGTCAAAGGAGAGCCCGACGTGCAATAACAAAACCCTCGACTTGCGGCCCGCAATGGTAGCTCTGTTACTCCGATGTCTGGATTCATAAGTTTCGCAACTTGCCGCGCACGTGATAGACAGAAAACCGTGATGAGTATTGACAATCCAGAGCCACTTCGTTGACTTCAAGACATTCCAACATGGTACGATCAAGCGCTTGGCTTTTTCTACCTTTCTCAATTGTCTCATCGGCCAATCGCCTCCAGCAGTCGCCATGATGCGATGGCTCAAACACAGTAAGAGTTTGGGGACGGCAGTTTGAATGGAAACAAACATGTTGCACCAATGGTATCAGGAAATGGAGACATGGAGAGTGCGAAGGACGAGGTTGGATCATTGATTGCGGGTGCCGATGTAGAAGTTACTGAGGCAATCGCACACAATGTACCCTGTCTCGCGGTCTAGGAAAGTTCAAGAAGAGTGCTCCTGCCAATCGTTCCTTTGTGAAGGTAGCGATGCAAGGGCGTCGCTCTACGTGCGCCAATATCAGAAATAGCAAAGCTTTCTTGGACACAACCTAGGAAGCTACTTCAGAGGCAATGCCAAAAATCTCGGAAACAACAGCACCACCGACATCACCGCATCCGGAATCCAGTGCTACCGAGAAAGAGGAGATGCAACAACACCTAGAGAAAGCCGACGAGAGTTTTGTCTCGTTTAACAAAGAAGAAAGGCCGGAGCACGTTATGTCTCATCAGCAGGCAGACGAGACTGCAGCTTTGTACGAAGCCACAACTTTACGAGAGACTGTAGCTGCACAAGAGATAGAAGACGATCATGCAGTCCAATCACCCATATCGGCATACGATGTTATCGATGAAGAGCCGGTACGAGTGGAGGTTCCCACCACATCGATTTCAGGTCTAATGGCTTTCAATGCACCACCAACACAAATAGAGGCTACCACAACATCGTGTTCAACCCCAACACCTCCCAATGCAATTCCGGTAACCTCGAACCAACCAACCCAACTCCTTGAAGGCCAGAGAGGTATCCGCCCTGGAGAACTGCTCACAAACAAGGATACGGAAGTCCATGCTGTAACATCAGCGTCACCCTCAGATCACACCTTGTCTATCTCTGCATACACGGCAGAACGAAATTCTTTAAAACGTCAGCTTGTCGAAGACGAGAACGAAGAGCCAGTGGGCTATATTGATGAAAGATCAGCAAAACGAACGCGATCCACGGACAGCCGTAAATCCATCGGCGATCGCAGTACACCAGTTCGTCGCTCATATTCCAGCATGTGGGACGGATACGAATGGGCGCTTGTCAATGAGAATATGAGGCATGGGCCGGATCAAGCCTTGGATCTTAACTCTGAAGATAGGCCAGCTCCATCGATCGTTGACCTGTCTATCATGGATCAGAAACCTATCATCAAGCAGGATCCTGATGAACTTCCGATGAATGCACTAGCTTCTTCACATTCAATCACTCTGACACCAACTCTGTCTGTCTCATCAATCATACGCCAGCCACCAACAGGACCAAATGCAGCAACAGAGCATGTTGACCTTTTTTCTCTCTGCATACCATGCACTGGGCCCAATGGGGCTCCCCATCCAGCGTCGGAAAACGAGCTCAGCCTCTTAGCAGATATACAAAGGAAGGCAAGAAGGATATTGAGTGGCGAAAAGGATAGAGTTGACATTCGAAGCCGTATCCCAGCCTGGATGCGCAATGGTCTATCGGAAGAGCAGAAAAAAGGCATTTTTAAGATACAGAAAAAAATCAATAAAATGCAAAAGAAGATCAGGGCTTCACAGTCGGAGAAAAAAGGTGGCAATGTAAAAGCGAAAGGTGCCAACACCGCCCCTACTAGGCCTACTCCAACACCTACCAAATACACATCTGCTTCGGTCATGCACTGGCAGACATTTCATGCGGTCGCACCAACGCCATCCCAGGCCCACCCTTTGGCACGTCAACAAACTCTTCTGCCCTTTGGTCTTGAACCTCTCGACTATGGCAATTTGTTCGGCCCGGCCTTAGTATATAGTGCACTAAAACAGGTCAACAACATGCTCGAAATGTTCGAGGCCAATGTAAGATGTTCTCTTTCAGGCCTCGACTTGATAAACCTACAAAAGAGCACCGGAAGAGTACAAAACCCACCTCCGCCGGGCTGCGCGTCCCTTTCACTTGCGAATCAACCTTATCCCAAACTGGCCGGTCCGTCTCTGGTACATCACGCGCTACAGGAGCTAAACGAGATGATGAGATCTTTTGGGCTTCTCCAGCAGTTCGCCTTGTGTTGGAGAGATCTGCGGCAGGTGCAGCATTAGGTCTTTGCCTTGTCTCCAGATTATCGTTGTGATGCTCTGGATCACACGGTGAGACAGACGTAGTATGATTTCTTTTCCTGTACATTTATTATCGTGCTTGTGCGCAAGCAGCTGCGCATGGATCCTCAGAGTACTTTAACATTCCATGTACTATTGTGTAAACTTTCGTCACGTGTGGTGATGAACTGAGCGTATCTAGCATTATCACTCCCAAATACATGCACTTCAACTTAGCGAAACCACGTGGAGTATCATAACTTCAAGGTCATCATTGAAAGTTGTTCATTTTCATGCCGGTGTACCCAGCACTATCGTTGGATACATACGTGAGGTCCTGAATGTAATACCCCGCGCCATAACCCTTATGCTAGAAAGAACCCAAAAACAAACCCTCTAGTACCTCTTACCCTCACGGAGGATGTCGCTGTACTCCTCGAGCGGGGATGGGGTAAGCTTCTTCTCAGCCCACAGGTTGGGGGTGAGGAAACCGTAGGTGTGTGCGACAGCTACGAAGGTAGCCTTCAGGGTGTTCTCAAGAGTCTTGGTTGAACCGGAAGAGGCAGTGTAGATGTCGGCGACACCAGCCAATTGCAAGAGACGCTTGACAGCGGGCGATGCGACAAGGCCGGTACCACGGGGAGCGGGAATGAGACGGACAGTGACGGAACCGCACTTTCCGCTCTCCTTGGTGGGGAGCGAGTGAGGCTCACCAAGGTTGGTACCCCAGTAACCTCTTCGGATGGGGACAACGGAGAGCTTGGCGATGATGATGGCGGCGCGGATGGCGGTAGCGACTTCCTTGGAGGTCTTGATACCAAGACCAATGTGGCCCTCGGAGTCACCGATGACGACGATAGCCTTGAAGCGGGTACGCTGACCGGCACGGGTCTGCTTCTGGACAGGCTTGATCTTCATGACCTCGTCCTTGAGCTTGGGGAGGAAGAAGTCGACGACCTGGTACTCCTTGATGGGGAGAGAGTGGAGGTAGCTGTCCGCTGTCAGTACGAATTCCTTGCCCAATCCCGCTTGAGAACGTACATCTCCTCCATGCTCTTGATCTTGCCGGCCTTTACGAGACGGCCGAGCTTGGTGACGGGCTGCCATTCCTTCTCCTGTGCCAATTGTCAATTTCCTGTTATTTGTCCCTCCACAGCCTTCATATGCGCACCTCAGTCTTTCCGCCACGGCGGCCACGGCCACGTCCGCGACCACGTCCACGGTCACCACCGCGGTCTCCACGAGAACCGAATCCGCCGCGAGCGGGGGCAGGAGCGTCAGCCATGATGTATGTTGGTGGGGTATACGGCTGCTGGATTTGCGATTAGCGACGGGCTTGAGAGTGAGAAGAGGTGAAAGAGCGTACGATTGAGAGTTCCTGGGAGTTAGTGCGTGCTGTTGTCGCGGTCGCACTTGCAACTTTCGATATTGAAATGCTCGCTTAGGTCGTGGATGTCACTAGCCGCATTGGGTTTGGCGCACCTACGCTACATGTGGATGAGTTGCAGGTGGTTCACCAATGACCACCACAACTACAAGGCGCAACCTCTGCAGAGTCCAGTTTGTATGCAGCTGTGCCTGTTTTCATTCTCGTGAGACCTTCTGCACAGAGATCTGACATGAGAAGTGCCTCTGACAAGTATTTGAAGCGACTGTATCACCTAAGGAGGCAAGATCGGTATGTCAATGGAGCGCAAACGTATCGCATTTCACAGGACATCTCAAGTGTGACTGCACCCAGTGCGCTCCTTGGTCACCAGACGGAAGATTGTCTTGCGCACCGACGCTGCCTATCGCGCTGTCCAAGCTGCTCGGAATGACGTGGCTGACTAAGGGCGCTTTGAGCGCGCATGACTCGTTCACATGCTCGAGATACCAACGATATCACATGCACGAACACTTGTCTCCAACGCTTCGACAATAATTTCACGGGCCACGCCGCGAGATCGTGGTTCATTACAATGTCTATCTTCAATTCAGTCCTCGGCTCGTTCTCGCCTCCGCCGCGGTTTAGAAAGTCCTTCGAAGACCCGCACGCGCGTGAACATGAGCTACCACTATACAACTCTCCGCCATCTCCGCGAATACCACCGCCTGTGACTTCGTCAGTACTATGGAACGCTCCAAGAACTAGCCTGTCTCCGCCTCCACGCGTTCCTGACGACCTGCTAGCTTTGCAGCGGCGAGCTAGATACCTTGAACAACAGCTGCAAGAGCTACTCGACGCACAAGCCGATGGTCTAATGGGTGGACGTGGCGCTGGAGATGCTACACCGGATGATCTTGTATCGAACGGAAGCACTACACCAACTGTGAGCAGCGTCCGGTCGAGCGATCGAGGTGCAGAGAACGGTAACGGCCATAACGGAGCACGGAGGAAGAAAGTGGGGCTAAACGCAGCGAGACAAGGCATATCTAGACAGATAAGACAGCTTGCCAGCGTCAAGTCTGAGGAGCTTGATCTTTTAGACGAGGACCTGAGGAAGCTGCAAAGCACAGTAGAGAAGACCGACGGGTGGAGTCAGAAGCGCATACGGCTGGAAAAGAAAATCAGAGATATAGAGAACGAGGACGCTGGCGCAAAGGCACAGAGCTTACAGACGGAAGCCTCGAAGCTAGAGCAGGAGATTCGCCAGAAAGAAGAGGAACTATGGGCGCTCAAAAGACGACATCGAAAGGTCTTGGACGAACTGGCTGATACAGAGAACTCGGTGGAAGCGAAGTTGGCATCGTACAAGACATCGTTGTCACTGTTAGATCGTGAAGTTTCCAATTTCCTTGCGCGACCTCTAAACGCGGATCACGTTCCAATGTCATCATCACCGTTCCTTACACTACCTGCAAAACGGCGGACGCTCGACATGGCGCGCGAATTCTGGCAAGACGAGTACACAAGACTGGCTGAAAGGTGTGAGAAGATTGATACAGATCGAGGTGCGCTTGACGAAGGTGCACTTTTGTGGGCAGATGTTATGAAGAGAGTCGAAGACTATGAAACAAGCCTACAGAACTCTATGCGACCAACGACACGGAAGAGCACCCCTGATCCCACCAAGCTTCTCGAGCAGATGGACGCAACCATTACCTACCTAGAGGAGAAGCTAGAGTTTGCTTCGTCGCGAAGTTGGAATTTGTTAGTTTGCGCCATTGGTGCCGAGCTCGAAGCTTTTACACAAGGCAGAAACATGTTAGAAGAGGCTCTTGGTTCGAAACGAAAGGGTAAAGAGCGAGCTACACAACCGCTGATAGACCATGATGGCTTTGAGACCAAACAACCAGAGGAGATGACAGGGTCTGCTATAAGGATTGGTCGTTCTCCGCCGAGACAACCTACGCCGCCCAAGCAGACGTATTTTGACTCCGAAGATGAGGATCCAGATCCCGAGCTTATGATTTCGCATCAGGATACCGATACTGACTGAGCTGGAAACGCGGTCCTTCCTCGGCGTATTTTTCGTGATTAGATATTCCTCTGAGTAGCCACACTCTGTGTAATTGTTAAATCATATCGAATCTACTCACTTGCTTATCAAATAGTGCGCACTTAACTCGAAGGAGCTTGTTTCTCATCAATGGTGCCCTATCTCTGCAAATATTGGATAGACCCAAAAGATGCATACTGCCATCTTCTCTAGTGGAGCAACAACGCAGAATGCTATATATGCTTTTAGAGTAAATCTCCATATACAAGCTACAACCTATGAAAGAAGAGCTTCTTCATGTGCGGAAGTCCGTCTTGATCTATCGATAAGAGTGGGGCGTTCGGAGATAATCCTATTACCGCGACTACTACAAAGCTCCCGCCCATTACGAGCATTGCTCTTATATCGCCTCGGCACATCTTGCGACATCTACAGAATAACGTTTTCGCAAACATGAGTTCGTCGCACGCCCCAACTAGTCCACCCGCCGAGGATGACCCAGCCAGAACCATTGTATACGATCCGAGCGATCCGTTCTGGCGAGAAACCAACGACGAGTATGATGACGACATGGACTTTGTACCTGCAGAAGAGGGCACCGACGATAACGATGAAGGTGAAGCTGATCTGAGCTTTCACGGTATACTTGGCTTTATGATACATAGTCTGTGATCTATCTACTAACATAATTGTAAGATGCCGCAGAACGGTTGAGCAATCTCAGCGGAGTGGAGATCGCATTCGAATACACCGATGATAACGACGATGACGACGACGACGATGATGACGAAGATGAAGAGGACGACGAAGATGGAGACGAGAACGAGGAAGAGAACGACGATGCAGAGGAAGACGAGATGGACAACCCTCGCCAGCCAATTATGATTACGCGCGAGCAGATAATGCAGTTGCTTGGACACGCTGGATTGGGCCGCATATTCGCCACCGATTTCATTCCACGATCCGCGCTCCGGCGACGCAGACTCGATGAGGACGACGAAGATGAGGACGAAGACGATGGCTACGACCCTCTCGGTTCGACGAGGACCTCTGGAAGGAGGCGACGACCACGAGGCATAGATTTGTTTGAAAAGGTGCCTAGCGAGCAGGGCCAGGAATTGATGCAAGGGGGCAACTTCGGAACAAATCCTCGATCGCAAGACACACTTAAGCGAAAAAAGAAGTTAGCTTACAACATCATGCGACGAGAGTTAGGTATTGGTGGTGACGGTCGCCAGAAGAATTCCACGAGATTGTTGAGGCAAGAAATGATACCAGAATCAGTGGCCGACACAATCATTCACTACAATGCGAGATGCTATTCAGGACAGTTTTCAGACGATGGCAACTTCTTCTTTTCATGCGCTCAGGATTTCAAAGTACGCATGTATGACACATCGAATCCATACGATTGGAAGTACTACAAGGCAAGCAGCAATCTCAAACTCGAAGCTCCGCAAAGCTAATATATTGCAGACTGTAAGGTATGATGGTGGTCAATGGACGATTACGGATGCATCATTAAGTCCAGACAATCGCTTTCTGGCATACAGCTCCATTAGGAGTATTGTCGCACTAGCACACACCGACCCTGACAACGATTCTGAACCACACTATCTTGATTTTGCAGACCTCGGTCGGCCTACCCCACGTGGGTATCGCGGATATTTTGGTGTAAGATGTGTTTATCAACATTTGAGACTGTGGCTGACCCATCCAGATCTGGTCGATAAGATTCTCTGGCGATGGTCGCGAAATTGTAGCAGGAACGGGAGACAGTTCTGTTTATGTATACGACATTGAACGTCGTCAGTCAGTGCTACGCATACCAGGTCATCAAGATGATGTGAATGCAGTCTGCTTCGGCGACACTCAATCGCCACACATTCTTTACTCTGGCTCCGACGACACAACGCTCAAGGTCTGGGATCGAAGAAGTATGGGTGACGGTCGCGAAGCCGGTGTTTTTCTGGGACACACTGAGGGCTTGACATATGTCGACAGCAAGGGAGATGGACGATACGTGCTTAGTAACGGCAAAGATCAGACTGCTAAGCTGTGGGATCTGAGGAAGATGATGTCGAAGGAGAAGGCAGACGGCATTGATCCCAATGCATACACCAACCGCTTCGAGTACCGATCCAACGCATACGACTTTGATGAGTACCGTCCGCATCCACATGACTGCTCACTTGTTACGTTCCGCGGGCACAAGGTGTTGAAGACGCTTATTCGATGTCACTTTTCGCCTCCTGGTAGCACAGATTCGCGATATGTTTACTCTGGCAGCTACGACGGCTCGGTCTACATCTGGAACATGGATGCGACAATTGCTGGCAAGGTCGATGTTCTCAAGGCAACCAGGAACTCACGACCACGCGACCCAGATCTTCTTGCTGGAATGTACGAGCACTGGGGTAGAAACGAGGGCAGATGGCAGACGTGTGTTCGTGACGCGAGTTGGCATCCCAACGCGCCTATGATTGCTGGTAAGTATTTGTACACTCCTAGTTTTGGTGCATATGTTAACTTTTACTAGCAACCTCATGGAACGGCTGGGGTACCTCACAGGGAACTTGCACAGTCCACACTTGGAACGATGGCCTTGAAGAAGATGAAGCAGAGCCTAAGATTGGGAGGCGGGTCAATGCACAACTGCAGCATGATGAACGGCTTTACACGAGTCCTGAGGGCAGGGCGAGACGACACCCCATGTGGTATGAAGACATGATGAATGAGGAGTGAAAGCTCCTGCATCGCTGACCCTTCTAGAATTCCGACGGATGGGTGAACACAAGTGCTGCATATAGGGATTTGGTGAGAAGTTGGGAATGCAATCAGATGTTCACAGGGACTTCCGATCTTGCTCAACATCGCTGTCACAGCGTTACAAGCACCGCGTTATCGTTCCACTCCACATGCACCGTTCACATCACAACACAAAGTTCGTAGACCAAATCAAGATGAATCCTGTGCATGCCTAAATTTGGATATAATCAAACTCCCGCTGGCCCAACCCCATACTGTACAGCCGTTTTGAGTATGCCATATTTCCTCTATGGAGCCCACAAAGCGAAGGCCGGTCTGTTCACCTCCAATGCCCCTAATACAAGATGATATGATGAACGGACCGGTGTCGTGGTCGAAGATGCAAAGGGAAGAGAATCAATGGTTGTGGCGTAGTAGCGTCTACGAGCCGCCGACGAGGATGTTGTTTACGGGAATGTGGACGAGCTTGACAACGTAGCCAATGACTCCTGTGATGAGTTAGTTGCATGGACTTTGGGCGTGCATGCGACGTATCACTGACCCATGATCAAGAAACCGATGCCGACTGCTTGCGATATCCTGATGAACTCCTTCTTGTCGGGCTCTGTAGTCATGTTAGGCGTGTCAAGGCCGGGATAGAGAGGTGATCGTACTTGTGCAGCGGTTCATGAACAGAGTACCCTCCTTGAGGAACTCAGCGGGCATACTGCGCAGACGTTAGCCATCGCTCCCTCATCGTGCGATTCCAGTGTGGCTTACTCAGCGAACTCCTTGACGTTCTCCATGGCGACTGGTGTGCGGGTGGCGATAGGTTGGGGGTGACTTGAAAGGGTGGTGAGTTGAGTTGTGTTGGAGAAGTATCGCGGGCTGGACAAGTCGCGGACTCAGGGTAGCAGCTGCCAAATTACCAGACTGACGGCAATCTGGCCTTGCGGAGAAACCCGACAGGGGTAGGTGTTCTGCCAAGCACGCTAATCTTCACGCTAACTGCGAGCTATCGCATCCGCGTCCTCGATTGTCGCTCACCCTCACTCGTGCTCGCGCCGACAAGTCGTCTCTACCCGCTTCCCCAGGTTTGTCACCGAACGCAGTTACTCACTACGCAACAGACCGGCCAACGAGACGTGCGAGCGCAATCCGCTTTCGCTTCGACAAACACGCAGAGTCAAGGGTGGAAAGGGATCGTGTTTGGCATCTGCATCGAGTTATCCTCGTTGCTCTCCATTTCTTCTTATTACTGGTAGCGCACGATTCAGCGCCTCATCAATTCGAAGGGACATTGTATACAGCAACTTCGCTTCGCGCAAACTGTACTGGAAGCTAGCAAAAGCGAGCGCAGGAGGCAGGCTGAGGCTTCACACACACATCTCTCACACCACATCCTGTACCTTTCACATCTCCGCATCTGCCAGGGGCGATCGGACTATCCCGTCTTGCACTGAGCTGTCTTTCTGGACCTTGTCACCACGCGCCGACAGCGGCACTGTACGTATGGCCTTACTCTACGCTGTTTGTCTTTTCTCTCGACATCGCATTGCAATGGACTGCAAGTCCACACTTTCTTTTGCAACAACTTCTATCTCATCATGCTGATTTGTATGCCAATCACAGAGTTGCGTGTACTTTGGCTATTGATATTAGCACATCAAGTACCTAAGAGCGAATCTAAGAAAGAATACCGGAACAAACCTCATCGCTTACTGCAGTTGACTTAACATACCACAGCAGATATGGCTGACGACGACAACTTCGATATCGACATCTACGGCGATGACTCCTACCAAGACTCGAGCGTGCAGCAAGACACTACCATAACCGACTCCAACACCCCGAACACAGAGGCGAATGCTGCGACATCGAACCATGTGCCGGATACTACCAAGACCGAGAACGGCGATCAAGCGACCAAAGAGTCTACAGACGAGGCGACAAACGGCGAGGGTCATCATGACCAGAGCACCCAACAGATCGCATCCACAGGAGGCTCAGCTGGCCTTGACGTTCACAAACAAGCACCTCAGCAACAGGGTACAAAGCGCAAGCAGGGCGAAGACGATGATCGCCCGACTGACCCCGGCGCCACTGCAGCTCTTATGATCAACGATGTAAATTGGTGGATTAGTGAAGAAGACATTCGCGGATGGGCCAACCAGAGCGGTTGTGAAGATGAGCTTGTTGAGGTAACCTTCAATGAGCACAAAGTCAATGGCAAGAGTAAAGGGTTAGTTGCACTTGATGCTTCGAGGCACAATATGCTAACCAACTTTTGAAGTCAAGTTTTCACTCTTTTGAACTCACCACAGGCAGCTACTGCTCTGAAACACCAAATCGAGAACCTCTTCAGAGACCAAGCCCACACGAAGAAGCCGACCGCCATCTTCAGTCCTCCGCATGTCAACCCATTCAAGACACTGCCAAAGGATGTTCCCGCGCGAGACAAGGGTCGGAACGACCGCGCTACCTCTGGAAACTACGGCAATCAAGGTGGCTACAACAACAGAGGTGGATATAACAACAACCGTGGCAATTTCAACAGGGGCGGCATGGGTTACCAAAACAACCGCAACTTTTCTCCTGCTGGTGGAAACATGGGTGGTGGCAACATGGGAGGCTACGGTGCCCAAGCGCCGATGAACAACTTCGGTAACCCCATGGGCGGCATGAACAACTTTGGTGGCGGCTTCAATCGCGGCGGCATGATGGGCGGTAATATGCGTGGTGGTATGGGCAACCGTGGCCGTGGCGGCAATATGGGTATGAATCCTATGGGCACAAACCCCATGGGCGGCATGAATATGCCCATGGGTGGCAACATGATGGGCATGGGAGCCAACATGATGGGTATGGGTGGTGGTAACATGGGCATGATGGGAGGAATGGGTACGTCGAGAAATTTTCATACTCCGACTAGTGACTTACCCCCATCCTCTTAATTCCCCAATGGGTCGATTACTAACAGCGAGGCTATAGGAGGCGGCTTTGGTGGCAACCCAGGATTTAACCCAGGATTCTTCCAAGGCAACCAAGGCGGCAACGATGGCAGCTGGCAAAACCCGCACGGCGCGAAGAGGCCTCGTCCTGAGTAGGGTTCAGATTCGGAGCATGCGAATCACGTACCGACGCGCCTATGCATGCTGCCGCTTCCAGGAGATCCATTCTCGACAGCAGAGCAGGCAGATTATGAGTGCAAGTTGACGCAACGCCGTCTCGATGCGCTTGAGTGCAAACATCTACGGAGTCTGCATGGTCGTGCTCTTGGAGACAAGATGTCTAATGCGGCCCTAGACTGGATGGTAGAGGGCACCTTTTTGACTGCAGTTCAAGCCTTCTATGCGACACGCTGTGGGCTGATGACCCACTTGGTATTTGGTCCTTCTTTTCTCGGCGTTTTAAGGGCAACGGGGCAACTTCCAACAATCAATATCTCTTCTTCACTTGTCTTATTAGCTTTTTCTCTTGTTTTGTTGAAGGGAATAGTATATCCTCTCAGAATTTGTAAGCCTCCATTTTGTTGGTACATCCTTGTTTTGGATGTTTCACACGAGTATGTTTAGCTCAGGAGTTTTGCGGTTCCATTTGGTACATGGAGAAACATGCGCTCGCATTCTTATTATACTGGTTGCAACCCAAGTACTTTGCCTGAGATCCGGCGCTATCATTTCGTGTTCTTACCGAACTGTTTTGGGCACGGAACACTTGTACTATTGTATCTGGAAGATGGTGTGTCTTGGGCGTTCGCATGTGAGCAATAATTTCATGACAAGTGGAAGAGACAAGGTGTGATCACCATTTGAAGTATTTTAGTCTTTGGTGGAAAAATACCATTGCCCTGGGTAATTTGGAGATTAGGCCCGCGGGGACCTGCATATGAAATCGGGCTGGGGTCTACAATATAGATCGAACGAGATGGCACACTAATCATGATGACGGCCAATCACACTTGCCATTAAAACAAACCCGTTGTTTTCTAGATGTCTTCCATGCTTCCGCTTCCACCTTGGAAACCGGGTAAGCAGGAGAGTTTGCAATTAAACTAGATTAGCAAGGAAGCTTGATGGTCACGCTAGCCGGAAGGTACCGCATCCTGGGGTAACAGTTCATTAATATGTAAGGATTATAGAGAAATGACGAGGGGATAGTGGATGAGGCTATATGGAAGATCTCCGTACCGAGGTGAAGGAACCTGGCTGATGGTCGACATTGTATATCTCTCTCCATCTCCCGAGGCGAAGGTCATGCAGAACGCTCAACAGTCGCAATGAAGATTTCCTATGCAAGTGCAGCAGTGCTGCTAAACAGTACCTTCGCTGTTGCTCAATGTTCGTTGCTCCATGATTCCAATACTATGGCGACAGCTAACACGATGAAGCGACGAATGGCACCGGTGTAAAATGTCCTTCAACTTCAAAGTTCTCTGCCATTTCGGCTGGTGCCTTCTTCGAAAAGTTGAACCCAGGCTGGAATGTCGGTAACACGCTTGACGCTGTAGAAACCGAAGGCAGTTGGAACAATCCGCCAGTCGTCGGCAGCACCTTTGACGATGCGAAAAGAGCTGGCTTTAAGAGCATTCGGCTACCCGTAACCTGGGCGTACCACTTCACTTCTCAATCACCAGACTGGACCGTGGATCCCGTATGGCTGCAACGTGTATCGGATGTTGTGGACATGATCACAGACCGAGGGCTGTATGCGATTGTTAATGTTCATCACGATTCCTGGACTTGGGCCGATCTTACGCAATCCAGCACGAACGTAACGGCTGTTGAAGAAAGGCTTGGAAAGCTTTGGAAGCAAATTGGAACCAAACTGGCTTGCAAGAGCGAGAAGGTCGCTTTTGAAACGATCAACGAGATCCCTGGGACTACCGCTGAGCATGGCGCTGTCATTAACCGCCTGAACGATATTTTCCTTCAGGCTATTAATGATGCGGGAGGCCACAACCCAAAGCGCGTTGTTACTCTCGTTGGTGCTGGAGAAGATGGATTGAAAACGATACAGTGGTTCAAGAAGCCTGACCCCAAGTTCAAGAATCCATGGGGCATCCAGTATCATTACTATTCGCCTTGTAAGTGCCCTTCACTCATTCGAAGTTCATCAGAACTGACCCAAGAGAAGATGACTTTGTTTTCCAAGCTTGGGGAAAGACCACATGGGGCTCCGACGCCGACAAAGCTGCCCTCGAAGCTGATATCGCCGCTGTCCGTGGAAACTTCTCTGACATCCCACTCGTGATTGGCGAATGGGCAGTATCACCTGTCGCCACCGAGACAGCAGCACGCTGGCGATACTTCGATTTCTTTCTCCGCACAGCAGCGAAATACAACACCACAACTGTTCTCTGGGACAACGGAGCCGATTTTCTGGACCGCGCAACACATCTTTGGCGCGACGAGGTAGCTCTGGATATCTACCGTAACGCAGTAAAAGGCATTGCAAACGCGCTACCAGAAAGCACAACCGATGGTTCTGCAACAACACAATCGAGTTCTGCATACGTCTACCACCGCAAGAACGAAACCGTAGGGGACGTTACGCTAGGCTTCGCTTTCAACGGAAACACACTTAGCAAGATCAGCAGAGGAAGCAAACAATTAGCCAAAGGCAAGGACTACAGCGTCTCGGGCGAGAAGATTACGTTTGCAGCATCATATCTCAAGACGATACTCACTCCCACTTCGCCAACCGGTACCCTAGCAAACTTGACCCTAACGTTCAGTCGTGGCGCCGCTCTTCAAGTCAACGTTCTCCAATACACCACACCGACCCTCTCTAACACCTCCGGTCCCTTGCCAGCAGCGGGCCAGGACTTACTTATCCCAATCACGTGGTCGGGGCAGAATAGGCCTGCGGCTGTTAAGGCTGTCAAAGCCGATGGAACATATCTGGTGGACGATTGGACACAGTACCTAGGGCCGTTGCAGCAGGGACGCATGACTTATGATGGTCAGTGGAACTGGGATGCAGGACATGTTGTTATCAAGGCGGCAGCTCTAGATGCTGTGAGGGCAGCGAGCAAAGACACTACATTTACCATTGAGTTCTATCCTAGAGAACCAGGAAATGCGGTAGAGTATACAGTTACTGTATAAGAGGGCTGTAGATGTGTTACAGTCGAGATAGTCATAGTGCAAATGAGCTGGACAGGTTATACGGAAAACCAAACGTGCCTTCATGATATAGTGGGCTCGTCTTGCATCGATTCCAATACCGTTACGTTAGGATATGTACATAAGTTCGATAGGCCATCATTTTAAAAACATGGTCCAGTTCAAGCAACAGCGCTAGATACCTGAATGGTAGTCTCATCCTGGAAACGACCGCCGCCAATAGAGGTATGGATAGACAAGGGTGCTGATCCATAGACAGTCACGCCGCTATCAAGAGTCTGTTGGACGTTGAGGGCTACGAGTGTTAGCTTTTGTCACCAAAGTAATTCAGATTCAGATTTGAACTTACTTGCTCCGTCATAGGAAAAGTCAAACGCGGCACGGTCGCACCTATGGGCAACAGGAAGCTCAGCGTTGGGTGCTTCAACACAGCTGCTCCTCAGCTTGTGGTCTTCGTCGTATTCGTCTGATGTGAACTCCGCGTAGAGAAACAGTTGCTCAATGTCGGGGCCGAGTGTCATTTGGACGAACCACTGACCCTTGTTTTCGGTACGGGGGAGTACGGCGGCGGAGGTGGTAGCCACGAGAGCGAGGAGGACGGTAGAGAACTGCATCTTGGTGGAAACGATAATGATGGATCTTGAATGATATTAGATTAGAAGGGAATGGATTGGAAGCAGTGGATGCTGGTGATGGTATTCTGCCTGAAGAATGTATGGGATTATATACATAACAGGACCTATGTAGTTGCTGAACACTATAGTGGTGCCTGTCTCTCGTGATAACGGATCCGATAATACTATTGCCATAAAAAGCATTGGAATTTTACCTCGTAATGCGAGATTCATCCTAAACCAGCGGTGTGGAGTTACCTACGTTGTTCGCACTGATCGGCTGAGTGCTGATGTACCATGAAGGAACCCTGAATTTCCAATATCCTGCTGGAGCATTTACGAGTATCCCCGTGTTGATTCCCCCTTAGTAGGCGTTAGCTACTTTATTTTTAGAGTTGCATTAGCTCCCGGCGGAAGGAGCGGCACCTGATTGTGACAACGTCCTTCATCTAAACCGAGAATTCTTTTGGTGAATACTGTACTTCAACGCTCGAAGCTCTGGAACATGTAGCAATCACAACTAAATACTGTTCCTCTCTTTTATTTTCCATATGTTGCTTTTCTGTATGGCCTAATACTTACTGATCTCGGTGAGGTAGGAGTCCAGGCCCCCTTCATCCACCGGGTGAATCGCTTTTGAGCATGAGAGAGAAAGTGAGGAAAATCTCCGAGCTACCGTAGTCTACTGCGCCGCCATACCTGAACAAGCTTTTCAGGCCGAGAATACGATATTTAGTATAGTAAGGTATGGTTGCAAAGCATATTGGGGACACACATGCGCCGAAAAGGACGATGCTACGCTCATCGGAAGACAATACTATTAACGGACACTACGCCAGAACGACCTGACCACTATTGCCGAGCGGGACTATTAATGGGCCATCTCATAATACTGCCGCGACACTATACTCGCGTATTAACCCTTTCCTTTTTCGACAATTATCGACCTCCACATCAGCATTGGACTTATGGTGATAGAAGGTTCCTAACACGACCGCCAAGGCGTTTGTCAGGTTCACAAGCGAAGGACCGGATAGGATACCTAGCCCAAAGACATAGTGCCTTTGTTAGGTATTGAGCTTTGAATTTGTGGATGGCTGATCTCGACCGATGGAAGTAGCATCGTAGCTGTACAGCCAAGAATGAGGGCAAGACTATAACTAACAATTGCGTTGGCATGTTGGTAATATGTCCATCGCTCTGGTTCCTGAAGAGCGGTCATCTAGTGGTTTTGTGTAATAGTTGTGGCTGTTCGGCGATGAGTATGTATTGTGATGCAGCTACGTCGTCGTCAGGCACCTTCTAACAACAGAGAGGCTGGCTCTAGCCTTACCGACTGATACCTGTTGTATTCTTGTGTATCTTCCTGTTCATGGTAAAAGTTCCAACTTATGCATAGGCTATCACCATGTCTGGTGTATCTACTCAGTTTATCTTGTGACCACTCTTCACTCTTCTGCACCAGCAATCTCTCTCCAGCAACCTTACACATACAATCAAGATAGCCTATGCCTGTGAATCCAATTGCATTTCCTCATCGTACTGCGGATTCCCATTCTTTCAGCGCAGATCTTAGTCTTACTTCGACGTCGCTCTCGATCCAAAAGTGCCCTGCGCCCACGACTTCAACACTGGTGAAGTGCGATGCTGGCTCAGCTTTCAATTGTTCTGACCAGTCGCGAATCCTCTTCGCAGAAGTGAAAGCGTCTTGATCCCCGAAGATGGCTAGAGATACGTGCTTACCAAGCACGTCCTGGTGATCGTCCTTGGACTTGCTCCAGAACCTATGTATCAAGGCTGGTGCAGCAAGTGTAGAGATTGGCGGTGTCAGTGGCGAGATAAGAAGATAACGGACGTCGGGCATTGTGATTGTCGCACTCTTCGCTTCCGATCGTGGCATTGGTTCGTGACTCTCTCTCCGCCTGTGGCTAAGGCTTCTCAACCGTGTTTTGATCTCATGGCGCGTACCGCCTTCGAGACTTCTTCGGACATCTCTGCTACTTCTACGCTTCTCTGGGCTAGTCTCCTCTCCGCCCATTGTAACCGGAGGTCTCGATTCATGTCCTGCCCTGCTTTTCCTCCTAGCTCTAGTCTCATCCCGAGCTAGGTTGATCCATCCGAGATTGCTCTGGTCTGCCAACCTGCGAGCGCGCAGGACTATTTCATCGGCTGCAGTACCCGTCGCTGGAGCTAAGAATGGTTGTAGTATGGTCGGTACAGGTGGCAGATGTCTAAGGATGAGGGAGCCGTATGAATAACCTCCTAGTATGACTATGGGAGATTGGTCGTCATGCGCCGACAATGATTCGCTTTGGTTTGAGGGGGTCGGAAGCTGATCGGGCGCGAGATTCAGGTCGAAGGTAATGCGTGGACGTAGGTAGGACATGTAGTACATGAAGAATGCTGCAAAGGATGTATAGTCATCTAGTTCGGGTCTTCCAGACCAGCTAGTACGCCCTTTAGATCCGTGCGCACCTCTAACGTAGCTTAGTCGGATGATTCTATGGTCAAGATATATCACTAGACGTACCTGAAGTTGAAGGTGCCCACCATCCAACCAGCACGTAGGAACTCGTCTACCACGATACCAACTACGCGATCGTCGTAACTACCTCCCATTGGTGCATATGGATGTGCCATGACAACACCTCTCCTCTTCCATTCTACGATATCGCCCGATTCCTTTGGCTTGATTAGAGTATCTGGATGGTACACGCGGCAATCGAGCGTCGTGTCATCATGGATCGAGGGTATCGTGAAGCTGTAGTGGGCGTCTGGTGGGCGACGCATCTTCTGGGCCAGATCGAGACCCAGTAACAATTCTCATTGCACCTTCGAGAGACTAAAATGCTGGGTAGCAACTGGCACAAACGTAGACAGGATGGTTTGACTATGCGATGATGGAGGAGTGTGGGGTTCAGAGTCGCGGAAAGCGCTCCGCTGACGCGAGCCCGCGCTTACTAGCGAAGACACCCTAAGACGCGCTGAAATAGACGATGACTCCTTCAATACACAACTTCACATCCCTATCAAAGGACACAGTTTACACATATGTCAAATTCTAATCCTCCGTGTTGACTACTCTGGCGCTTTGGCGACATGCTTGCAAACGTGGGTAGCAATCACATCTGAGATGACCGCTGTCAATTACCCAAGCGACTCTGGGCTGACATGCAGGATCCCAGATAATGTTCAACCCTACAGCCTGGTGGGTGCGACTACCATCCAGTCCTTCGTCTCTGAGTCTGAAAGTCAACCGTGTTTACGTGGGAAGTTTCCAATCGTCATGGAAGGCTCCTGAAGTTGGGTGATACGATATGGGCTGTGAACGATATGGACATATCTGTGATTCTTCGACAAGTGAATCAGCACTATATATTGGTCGCGCTATGATGCCTCCATAGAGCAGCATTGAACCGTGCCTGTCATGCATGCGGGTCAGTATTTGAACCATGGCCTGTGAGAGCCGCCATCATTGATATCGGGCGACATTTTACTGCTTGATGAGGGAAAACTCATGCTTATATCGTAAGTGTTACATCTATCGTCAGAAAGTTAAACCGGGCATAGAGAGCGGCTCATGCATGCGGCGGGTGACTGGCCCCAACCTTGTGGCATCAGCCGTCATCCACTAGAGAATCAGTGTGAGAGTAACAAGAAGTGGCGATTGAAGATTATAAATTATCCGCGTCCATTTACATCCAGAGTATAATGCTCTAGATAGAGTGAAGCCAATGACCACTGCCCTAGAAGCATAACCCTGCCACCAACTACTACCAGCATCAAGGATGCCATGTACAAATCCTAGAGCGGACGAAGCGCACCACTCCGGTCTTCAGACCACCTGCCAGCGATGGCCTGTCGCGTGCTCTTACCCCAAAAGGCAACTGGCATAGCCACTAGCCCACCCAAGACCTGGAAGATCATGAGTTCAATACCAACCCACATGTATCCGTGAGCGTCGATCCAAGGCACAAGCGCAAAGCTCATGACAAAGGAGAGGATGTAGCATCCTCCACCAACAACAGCGATAGCGGGTGCAGCCCATCGCGGGAAGGCTTCAGTGACCCAGAGTGTGTTTGCGATCATGAGTGTTATGAAGGAGAAGCCGTTGATACCGTACGCGAAGTAAATGGCAACAGGTTGCCAATGAAAGTGAACAGCAAGACCATAGAGCACCGAGCTGAGCGCGCCGGTGATGACGGGTAGGATGTAGCCGACAAGATAGTGCTCCGCCTCTAATACCCCTCGATTGCGGCTTGAGAGGCGTTTCAACACCTTGCAGAAGAGCAAAGCAAATATGGGCAGACCACATAGGGCTCCGAATCCCGATGCGACATTGACAGTGCCAACAACACTCGGCGACATGTTATAAGGCGGTGCGATGAGAATGCGCGCGTACGTCGCGCCGATGAAGATCATGCTTGCCGAGTTGAAGGCAGAGGCAACGAAGACCCAGAAGATAAGTGGGTTGGCAGCACAGTAGGCCATTTGGATGATGCAACGACCTGCCGAAGCCCATGATGCAAAGGGTGAGCGCGATAGACCGGCCTTGTCACGAAAGCCTGCAAAACCAGTGCGCAAGGGGTATTCGGGCAGATCGCGATATATCTCGGAGTCCTTCTCGCGATCTTCGTAGACCGTCAACTTCTCGGTAGCACTTTGCAATAGGATAAGTCCATTGAAAGCTACAGTTGGCCTTTTGAAGTATGTTTCGGGATAGAGAGCGAAGGTGACAGCGAGCGAGACGACAACGGGAATGGTCCAGTAATGATAGAAATTTCGCCAGTTGTTTCCGTGGTCTGCTAATACAGGTACCAGTGCAACGCCAGAAGTGCCAAAGCATCCTGCCATGCACCACATGAGTGCTACTGCTGCCGATCTCTGGTTGATGTAGGTAAGGTCAATAACCATCAGGAAAGCCTAGGGTTGTTAGCGAATGAGATCGTAGTTGTCTTGAAACACTACTTACCAGGGACAACGCAAGCCCCTCACCGAGACCAAGGAAGCAGACTGCGCCTACGAGCGAACGGAATGATCCTGCCTCGCCGGCCCATAGCATAGCGAGCAGTACGACAAGTGTTGCGATCAACATCGTAGGCCGGCGGCCCAGACCAATGGATACCGGCACCCACAGAAAGCATCCCAAGCCCATGAATAAGGTAGGAGCTGTTACTAAGGCTTTGAGTAGCCATGCGGGTATATCCTAAATGCAACATGTCAGCGACGCTTACCCCAGTGAGTAGAATTGAACGTACCTCGTGTGCGAAATCTCTTTGGATGTCGTCAAGTACGACGGACGCAGCTTGTGCTGCAGTTAGACAAACAACAGAGAAAAGGGCTACAGAGAACAATGCTCCGCCTGTCTTCCATCTGTTCCAGTTCAGAGGGTCGGCTTTGGAATTCGAGGGCATGGGAAGCTTGAGTGTTCTCCCATCGTTCGTAATGAGAAAGGTGCTTCCAATGAGGTTGTATGATTCGCGTCTCGAACGTCTGGCGGTCTCCGCAGTCATCGGTCTGGAGTGGTGACCCAAAACAGAAGGCACTGATGGCCTCTTGCCGGGTGTCTCATCCGGAAAGGGTGGGTATATGGGATGTGGTGCTGAGACTGGATGAGCGTTTGGTGGTGGAGCCAGCTCCACCATAGGATGCGGATCTTTCAGGGCAGATGAAAGCCTATTGGAATATGTTTCCGACATCATGATGTCCATGACGAGAGAAGAACAATGAAGGAAGGAATGGCGACACGAGTCACCACACAAGTGGATCGTGAACGGACAGAACTAGCGATGAAGGAACGACTGAAGGACTAACAACCTAGAACCGTGGCTAACGCCCCGTTCTATATCCACAACCGTTCGGCTCTCGCACTCTCGGCCGTTGCGGGTGTGACCGCACTTCTGTCGATCCCACCTGGAGTTGAGGCTTGAATGAAAGTCTAAGCTCCCTTTTCCACTCTTGATACTCCTCAAACAGACCAGATCGCACCGAAAGTAAAGGTAATCAAGGACACGTCGGCATAACTTGGACGCATCGTCCGTAAGACGTAGATCATCGTTCCTATCGAGCAGCGTGCGTGAAGTCCGGGAGTTGCTTTAAAATGGCCGATTGGTCTAATCGATTATCACGAACCCCATGGCCTGGGGTCTCGTGTTGGGCCTCAAACCTCAAGTAGATTTCCAAGAGAATGGGTGAAGCTACGGCCGAACTGCGGTATCATAGCGTTTCATCTGCCGTTCTGATTCAGGTTTGGTGACAGCGGCACTCAACGGCTGCCTGTGCACCGTGTCCGGAGAGTGACCGATGTTTGCTATTCGTCGTCCACTTACCGCGTTTCAAAGGCCCCTAGGAGAGGTCTGCGAACAGGTGCCTGGGCTAAAACATCGCTGTGTTTGAAGAGTGACTAGTGAGCACATATGTGAGTTTATTCCATCATGCAAGTGAAATGTGACGGTGATGTGACGGCGGTGTTGAAGGATTCCGACTTTCCTCGGGGTGATACTTGCGAAGATCCGGGGAAGCGAGACCCACGTCATCCTTTTCACCGCAGTTGCGAAGACTCCAAGTCTGTGAAACTCAAGGAAGCTTGTCGATCAAGCATACGTACAACGACCGCAATGCGTACACCGGAGAATTTCGTAAGATGAGGCTGGCGTGAACGTTGAAGACTTGGCAAGCTAAGGGGCGCGCTATTGACCAAGGGTTCCGCATCACGTGCCATGACCAGCCGAACAGGCGTTTGCAATCTCAACAACGCCCAACTTTGTGCTTACGGCATCGCATCGCTCGATTACGTTGCAGACATACGGAGGTGACAGGGCTGAAACCTCCAAAGGCTGTACAGTGAATTTAGGCAGATAAGGCGTCAGCTGATGCTGGAACATCCCGTCTGGAACATTTGCGACTTGGAGTTGATAGATGCCAAGCATCGCGACATCTATTCGTCCGGAATATTGCCAAGGTGGACGCAAGAACCGACACCCTGTGCCCCCTTATTCCTAAGTTCCACCAACCTTAGAACAACGTTTGCGTTGGTGTGCCAGATAAGCTCTGGGCTACAGGTACTGCCACAACAAATGCGGGCCCTAGAAAAATGTCAACTCGGGCCGAGCCCGCGTGTCATAACAACCTAATAACCCTACGAAGTGTACAGTCATCGTGAGCAACGGCAGCCGACTTCCTGAGCACGAAACAGGCATAGTAAAGCCAAGGAAATTACTAAACTCCTCTGCTGACTTGAGTCTGAGTCGGCGTAAAATTACAAGACGGGAACCCAACCACCGGCGTGCTAATCCTGTCGATCATCACCTGCCTACTTGGGAAATGTGCATCAAAACTGCTCGAGCTTGGGAAGCTCGGGACTGCTTGGTGTACTCGAAAAGCCTTGCCTGTCCACGAATGCTTTTATGAGGCTGACACGTCGGTTTCCTGTCTGCGGCTGTTGATATCCACCAGTTAGGCATACACAAAAAAGAGTACGCGCCTTGAGCTCACACTGCTGACAGCTATGTTAAACATCTCAAGTCCGGTGATGATCGCGGCCAAAGTCTCATTACGAAGGGATCGGATCAACAGTCCCGCCTTGTCAAAGTATAGTGGCCTGATATTCAGGTATTGGCGGGCACATTAGGCTGGAACATACGTGGCAGTGGAAGAAGTGGATGTTGGCTACGCCAAACGATGGCAACTGTGCGAACCACTAGAGCCTCGACATGTGAAAATTGGTCATGGACTCAGTGCATTAAGAAGTCTTCTGTGTGCACATGTGGAGCCATCAAAAGTCCAAGTAGAAAGCTCGGCGCCGAAATATCATTGAAGGATCGCAACTAAGAAAATCACATGGCACGCCGTCCATAGTGGAGAATTGCTGATATCAAGTGCAGCTGCAGTGACGCGTCCAAGAACGCACCTCCAAACGTCTACCAAGTCCTCTTTATGCGCTAGTCAAATTGACAAATTTGAGCTGGTTGGACGGATGAATAATACCATGGACGCGGGCCAGAAGATGACACGTGAAGATGCTGCATCATGGCATTGAAAGGGCTCAGAGGCAGCCGAGAACGGCGACCTCTCGGAATGGATGGTGGTGTGTTAGGATCGTATGTTCTCTTACAAGGGTGACGGTGAATATGAATGTAGCCGGAGCTTTATGTCGACGTTCTGGGGCTATCGGCCGAGGGGTTAAGACGAGTAGGCGAAGGTTGGTACTGGGATGAGTGTGGGTGGTGAGGTATAGCCATGAGCAGACGCTGGAGCCCAACATGCGTTTGCCGTGACATGACCGACTGTCGAGATGGAAAGCACAATAAGCTTAACTTCTGGCTTTAGTTTCATCTTTTAAGTTCCATACAGGGGGTGCGGAAAGCGCCAAGTTAAATTCAACTATTGACGCCTCTTGAACATCCAACAAAAATCTTGGGGTATCATGTGCGAGAACTTAGAGTAAATAGAGATGCCGCCGAAGCACGGCAAAAAAGATGAAAAAACCAAAGTTTGCAGCATGGGGATCACCCTCAATCATACATCGTGTCTATGACTGACTTATTCGAACGCCGCTTGGAAAAGATGACGTAGAGACGGGTGGTAGGGAAAGGAGAAGATACCGAAACTTAGCCCACTTGGAAGAGCATGTGGTATCTGTACGAATGGAAGATAGAGTGTGGAAGCAAAACGAACACTAAAGGATACTATGCGACCAAGACTTATCCGGTGTACCAACCGCTGGCGGCGACGGTTGAATTTTCCACTTGACGTTGTGGAATGAGTGGTGTGGTGATATCGTATGCTTCAATGAACATTCGCCACGTAGGGAAATCGATGCTGAAGATGGCTTGATGCTTTTGGACGTCCTTCTCTCGGTGTTCCGAGACCGCGCTAGGGTCTGCTGGTTCTGGTAGTAGTTAGCAAATGTATAACCCAGTGTGACTCGCAGACTTACGCAGGAGCGGAAGCCCGTGGGCATCTTTGATAATGGCGGCATTGCCCTCCCTCACTAAGAAACTAATATAGAAGAGATTCTCTACCGTCTGCGCAAAGTCGTGGGGATTGATAGCGAAGTCTAGTAGACTAACTGCGGACGTTCCTTCAACCGTCATGGCTAATCTATGGCGTCTCAGAGCAGCATATTGATCTTCTTCCGTGATTTCGCCTTGTATCTCCTCGAGTTCTTGTTCAACCAAAGGTTCCACGGCGGTGATGTGATCTACCAAGTGTTTCCTGATGGCTTTGACCAAGGTCAGTTGAGTGTCTTTATTGCTCTGCTGCGTGTCCTCGTTCAGAATCTCTTCTGGTCGAGTTGCCGGGCCGACCGGTTGTCGTTGAGATCGGGCTCTTCGCTGGGTTGCACGAACGCGCTTTTGTACTGACAAAGGGCCAAGTAGGAAACTTGACGTTGGCGGTCGTTTGTTGCAGGGGAAACATGCTTGCCGACCGAGTAATGCCCAGTCAAGGCCATCTGGGTCTTCATCGTCGTTGTCGCCTACGGGTACTGCTGGTGCGTCTTCCTCGCCTGCAATGTGGCCGCCAGATTTCATGAAGTAAATGCACTTGGAAATGAACTGATCGAGATCAACGCCCACCCCAGAGTTGCCCAAGCTGTTGTTGAGCTTCTTGCCTGCGAGGTCACTGGCGTTAACCAAGAAGCGAGAGTCGACAGTAGCATCGGCTGTTTGTCGCACCTTGCCGAACAAACTGTTTTGTGTCTTGAGAGCATCGAGCAGTCCGCTGTCGTGTGATTTGACGAGGTCATCGCGATTATCTGCGATGGTCAGTGATGTTTATCCCATGTGCAACAATATGCTGGACTCACCATCTAGCATGCGCTGGTGTTCACGCATGTTTGCACGTAGCCTCCTTCGCGCCTCTGGATCTTGATTGGGATTGTAAAACTTGAGGTCGCCTTCCTCGTCTGGCTCGGGCAGCTGTGAGGGCGTTTCCGCTTGTTCGTCGTCGTCATCGTCATCCTGTTCCTCATCTTGGTTGCCGTGTGCATGCTCGTGACTTTGCGAGTCGGCCATGTTGTAGTTATCGGTTCTCCTCCTCTTACCGCCGTTTCCAGATGTTGAGCCAGAGTCGGGTGTCGGCATACGCACCGACGCGCTCCGCAGGCCGCTGGCCTTGCCTCGCCGCGGGGTGTTGTCGCGTGTGTCAGGCTGCTCATTCTCTTTGTCCGAGTTCATTGAGCGCGTCGGGCTGAGGACTGAATAGGACGAAGTGCGCGCATTGCCGTCGGTTCGGGGCTCTACGGAGGGGTCGCGGTACAGAGAGTCGACGGTGGAAGCGCGTGTTTGTGGCGTAGCAGAGGGGTGGGTGTTGAGACGCGCCATCCCGCCCCAAGAAAAAGCGAGCCGGGAGAGAGGGTGGGCGAGGAGGGGTGTGCGTTTGGATGGTCGTGATGCGGGCGTTGACCTGTGGGACGCGGTTGCCCCATGTGCAGAGGCGGCCGCTTAGCGCGACTTTGTTTGAGGCAAGTGCGACCGCGTCCGTCAGCCAAGCCTAGCACCACGCGAAAGCGCAGCTGCGATTCGCGGACCCCTGCATGCGCGTCGGCTTGTGGAGCTTCTGACCCGCTCGGCTTCATCAACTGTCTCTCCTTCACCCCGCCCAGAGACGCGATGAACTGGTGTTCCTGCTAGGCCGTATCGAATCCTGTCATGTGCTGGTAGGCTGTCAGACTTCCACATGCCTCACATCCATGGCATGCCGTAGCCACCAGCTTCCCCACCGCGCACGATGGAAGCCTTCAACTTCGCGACGTCTCTTGACCTGACCGAGCTGTCGGTCCATGTTCGCATGTATGCCTCCTTGTACGAGAACTCGAGCAGTGCTAAGTAGATATATAGAGATCGTCTCGATGGAAACCAAAAGCCCATACCCTACTCGGTTTTACTCAAGCGACCGGACCTAAGGCACCGAGCTTCCAATATCAAGTGGGTCCCCCTTCACCAGGTGAGAGAGAGAAACTGGAGTGCTGATGTAAAGGTGGTAGCCCACACTTCGAGCTGTACGTCACTGCCCAAATATGGGCAGATAGCAAGCCCCTCACCGTCCCTGTTCAGACCGCCTACAAGTCCTTCAAGAACGCGCGTATGTGGAACGAATGGCTCCAGCTACCCGTCACGTATGCGAACCTCCCCGCCTCGGCCCAGATAGCCATCACAGTATGGGATCTGTCGCCTGCCGAAGATACCGACTCGAATCTCCACGCCGTGCCCTTTGGTGGCACGACGATACCCCTCTTCGACAACGACAACACGCTGCACAAGGGTAGGCAACGCTGCCGGATACACCGCTTCAAGGCAGCCGATGGCCTGACCAACACTACAACGCCATGGGTAATACCGCCGGCGCGAACAAGTAGAAAAGCCGAGGTGGTCGAGGATACCATGGACGAGCAAGTCGCTGAGATGGAAAGGCTGGAAGGCTTGCTGAAGAAGCAAGAGATGGGCGACCTGCCAACTAACAACTGGCTCGACGCTCTGGTATACAAGAAGATGATGCAAATACGGAAAGAGTCGCTCAAAGCCGAGGCAGCAGCTCTGAATCGGCAGAGCAAGACGAACGGCACGAATGGCTCCACAGATAGCGAAGACCAGGAACTCTTTTATCTCGACATCGAGCTCCCCCGCTTCGACCACGCCATCGTCTTCTCCGATGTCGAGTACCCACCGCCCCCCGTTTCAGACTTGCGATTACCTGCCGAAGCCGACGTGAGGCTGCGGCCTCCACCTGAAGTGTCCTTCGGTCCGGGCATCAACATTGATGGGATCGGATATGGTGATGCAGATGCAGGCCGGCTTATCAAGATCTATGATCCCGAAGTCGGTCGAAGGGTCAACCCCGCCGAGGACAAGCATCGCGAACTGATGCGCAGCCAGCAGACCGATTCACTTGACCGTGACCGCAAGCCCAACGTGCACGTTCGAGATAAGCTTAACCTGCTGCTTTCCAAGGGACCACTCGAAGAGATCACATCACACGAGCGTGACGATATCTGGAAGTTCAGATACTTTTTGCTAAGAGACAAGCGAGCTCTGACCAAGTTTGTCAAGTGCGTTAACTGGAAGAACCCGCGAGAAGCGCGACAGGCTGCACCTTTACTCGATAAATGGGCAGAGATAGATGTCGACGACGCACTCGAGCTTCTTGGACCTCACTTCGACCATCCTGTAGTGCGAAGCTACGCTGTGGAGCGACTGAAAAAGGCGGACGACGAAGAGCTCCAGCTCTACCTCCTTCAATTAGTGCAAGCGCTCAAGTACGAGGCACCAGGCGAAGGCGATGACTCGTCGTTAGCGCGCTTCCTGGTTACTCGTGCAGCCAACAGCTTTACATTGGGCAACTTCCTGCATTGGTATCTCATGGTGGAGATCAGCGACTTTAGCACCGATCAAGAACCAGAACATCGTGAACTCTTCGCCAAGGTCGAGTACGACTTTATGGTCGAGCTGGAGAAGACCCCTGAAGGTGTTGAGATACGCAAGACGTTTCAACGTCAAGGCGAACTTCTCACCATTCTGGCCAAGATTTCAAAAGACGTGCGCTTCGGTGGGGGTGACCGAGCTGCAAAGCTTGCTCGTCTCAAGAAGGCAATCGCTGACCCAAAGAACGAGCTTACTAACTTTGATCCATTACCTCTACCTCTGGACCCATCTGTCTTCATCACTGGTATATCGACAGAAGACTGCAACGTCTTGAAGTCGTCTTTACTGCCCATGGTCCTCTCCTTCAAGACCACGACATCGAATCCATATCCCATAATCTTCAAGACTGGTGATGATCTGCGTCAAGATCAACTCGTCATTCAGATCATCACGTTGATGGACCGCCTCCTTCGCAAAGAGAATCTCGATTTGAAGCTAACACCATACCGTATCTTAGCTACTTCTACCTCTGCTGGCGCTTTCCAATTTGTCCCATCGATGAGCATAGCAGCGGCGTGCCAAAAACACAAAGGTTCGCTACTCGCCTACCTACGCGCTAACAATCCTGACGACAGCGCTCCCCTCGGTGTACGCAAGGACGCTATGGATACCTACATCAAGTCTTGCGCCGGGTATTGTGTGATAACATACCTCCTTGGAGTTGGCGATCGCCACCTTGACAATCTCTTGCTTGCTCCATCGGGCGCTTTCTTCCACGTCGACTTCGGCTATATCCTCGGGCGAGACCCGAAACCCTTTGCACCAGCTATGAAGCTTTGCCGTGAGATGATTGAAGGTATGGGCGGCGTGCAGCACCCGAACTATCTTATCTTCAAAGAATACTCATACACGGCTTGGTCCACGCTGCGCAAGTCTTCGAACCTCATACTCAACTTGTTTGCTCTCATGCAAGGAGCGAATATCCCAGATATCAAGATTGAGAGGGAGGGCAGCGTGAGGAAGGTCCAAGAGCGTATGTGGCTGGGAAAGGGTGTGGGTGGGGCCAAGAACGAAGATGAAGCAGCGAGAGAGTGGGAGGGGCTCGTCGAGGAGTCGCTAGGCGATTGGAAAGCTGGGGTAATTGACTGGGCTCATGAGTTCGTTCAGACCTATTGGCGGAAGTAAGGTTGACTTCAAGACAATATAATAGGTGGAGCCTTAAGCACAATGCGAAATGCTTTGTCCGATCGAGTACGCATAACGTGCTTCGATAGTAAGGCGCTCGTCGTGCCAAGGCTGACCCCGCCAGATCGACATCTCCATAGCTAGCACACGGGCGCGTGTCCCGGTGGAGACACCGATGGAGAAGCCCATTCTCCACTTACTCTCCACATACAGTGGGTGTAGCATGACCTCACCCATGATGTATACCACCGGAGGATTGCAGATGGCGGCTTTCCCGATTCTGAGTAACCGCAGCTTTGGTGCATTCGACCTCAAGTGTATGAAGCAGCTACAATGTAAAAGACAGCCTTCTGCCCCTCTAGGCTTGAGGCGCTCTCACAGATCCGTGAACTTTATGCAAGACACCCATCATGTTCGCGTCTAAAGACAACCGCCTCGTCTACACATACGATGCTGAGCAACTATGGATCGAGCCTTGGGGTCAAAACGCAGTTCGCGTTCGCGCCACCAAGATGCATACTATGCCTCAGGAAGACTGGGCGCTCCTACAACAGCCCAACATCACTGCCAAAATTGACATTGCCAGCAACGACGAGTCAGCTACCCTGACGAACGGCCTTGTCAAAGCAACCATTACCAAGCGAGGCAAGATCACAATATCAAACACCAGCGGCAAAGTCCTCTTGGAAGAACATGCCCGTCACCGCCGCGACATCATCGATCCCAAATGCAGCGCTCTAGAAGTCGAAGCCCGGGAGTTCAAACCTATCTTGGGTGGTGACTATCACCTCACTGCTCGGTTCGAGAGCCTTGATGCCAAGGAGAAAATATACGGCATGGGTCAATACCAGCAACCTTATCTTGATATCAAGGGCACCCAACTGGAGCTGGCGCACCGAAACTCTCAGGCTAGCGTACCTTTTGCTGTTTCTTCGCTCGGATACGGCCTCTTGTGGAATAATCCATCCATTGGCAATGTGGTATTCGGAAAGAACGTCATGAGTTTTGAGGCTTTATCGACCAAGGTCCTGGATTACTGGGTTGTGGCTGGTGATACACCTGCGCAGATTGTTGAGTCGTATGCTGATGCAACTGGAAAGGTAAGGCTCAGCTCACACGCTGCTAAAGATTTGGTGGTTAATGTCTTACTATTCAGGTACCAATGATGCCAGAATACGGTCTCGGTTTCTGGCAATGCAAACTCCGCTACCAAACCCAAGAAGAGCTCCTTCAAGTTGCACGAGAGTACCGGAAACGAAACCTCCCAATCGACCTTATTGTGATAGACTTCTTCCATTGGCCCATGCAGGGGGACTGGAAATTCGACGAAAAGTACTGGCCTGACCCTGAAGCCATGGTCAAAGAACTGGAGGAACTTAAAATTGAGCTCATGGTATCCATCTGGCCAACCGTAGACCGACGATCAGAAAATCACGAGGAGATGGTAGAAAAAGGCTTGCTCATTCGAACTGAACGTGGTGTGCGCACAGCCATGACTTTCCAGGGTCAAACAATTCATTTCGATCCGACAAACCCTGCGGCACGGGACTATGTGTGGAACAAAGCGAAGCAGAATTACTACAAGAAAGGTATCAAAGTGTTTTGGTTGGACGAGGCAGAGCCAGAATATCGACATTATGACTTCGATCTCTACCGCTACCATCTGGGTCCGAATATAGCGATTGGTAATATCTACCCCCGAGAATACTCCCGCGCATTCTATGAGGGTATGGAGAAGGAAGGCCAAAAGAACATTGTCAACTTGGTTCGATGTGCGTGGGCTGGTAGCCAGCGGTACGGTGCCCTCGTTTGGAGTGGCGATATCTCATCATCATGGTCGAGCTTCCGTAACCAACTCGCTGCAGGACTCAATATGGGTCTGTCTGGTGTGCCGTGGTGGACAACGGACATAGGAGGTTTCCACGGCGGGAATCCAGATGACGAAGCGTTTCGCGAACTTTTTGTCCGATGGTTCCAATGGGGTACGTTCTGTCCGGTGATGCGGTTACATGGGGATCGAGAACCACGGCAGCCCAAGACCAATGATAGCCCGTCTTGCCGTAGTGGTGCGGACAACGAGGTGTGGTCGTACGGCCCAGCTGTATACGAGATCTGCAAGAAGTATATGGGTGTTCGCGAAAACTTACGTGAGTACACACGGAAACTCATGGAGGAGGCTCATAAGAAGGGATCGCCAGTCATGAGAGCTCTTTTCTATGAGTTTCCAGAAGATGGCAAGTCTTGGGAGGTCGAGGAGCAGTACATGTATGGGGACAAGTATTTGGTCTGCCCGATTCTTGCTAAGAGTCAGATCAAGACGAAGGTTTATCTCCCATCTCTGCCTAGTGGACAGAAGTGGAAGGACTTTTGGGGTGAGCAAACTTGGGATGGTGGAAAGGATGTTGAGGTGGACAGTCCGTTGGAGGTTATGCCGGTGTTTCAGAGGGTATGAAGTGGGAGGATATCAAGTACCAGCCAAAATCGTAGCAATTAATCCTGAAGATCTACTATATTTGGTTGATTTGGTGAGTGTTCTATGTAAGGATGCTCTTGATGCTTCAAGGACGTAAGCCCGTGCGCTAAGCCCCGCCTTAAGCTCGTGATGACTGCCAGCCGCGCCAGCCATCTCTTTGCTCCGACTCTACCTAGGTAACGCTTGCTGTAGTCGCTCTGCCTTATCCCGCATCTATCTTGGCTGGCACGATGATGACTGGGATGGCCTGTCTTTGCCCGACTGGATCCAAACTGCCTGGGCATATATTCCCAGCCTCTCCGTAGAGGACCTGCTTCTACTTCTCCAGGCAATGCCATCTCCAGATGCACAAGAGCGGCCGATTGCAACATGCGGCATCTGCGGTCGACGTTTTGGCAAACAAGAGCATCTCGTACGACACATGAGGATCCACACGCGCGAACGACCGTACCCCTGTCCTTCCTGCCATAAGTCCTTCTCACGCCGTGATGTCCTTAGCCGTCACATCGCCGCGCACGATGACCACAGCAACACCACATCTCAACTTACCGGATCACGTGCATGCTTTCGATGCGCTGCAGACCGGGTCAAATGCTCGCGCGGTCAGAAATGTCGAAGGTGCTCACAACGCGGTTACAACTGCCAGTCCCCGCCACTCCGCGCCGCACGAAATAGGACGGTTGCTCCTGGCCCAAATGATTCAATAAACACCTTCAATAGTAGCAGTCTACAATGCGATAATAACAATCGCGCAAGCAACGGCGAGCTCATGATAACCAACTTCAATGATGCAATACCAGAGTCCTCTTTGAGCGCGTGGACATGGAGCACTAGCGTCAATACCATGGTCAGCCCTGACGCATTTGGCCTGCCTGGCTTGAGTCTGTCAGACATCAATTGGCTTTCGCCTGGCCCGATCGACTTAGATGCGCTGCTCGCAAACATTGGAGAAAACGCTCATGGTAATGCGGAGCAACGGTCCTGTTCTATCGCTACCACAACGCCGTCAGCTCCAGCGATCCCTACAGTCCAGCCCTCGCCGCATCTAAACACGACTGACTTCAACACGGGAAATACACCAAGAGAAATTACCTTAGAAAGATCTGCATCAGTCTCGGAAAACAGATATTACGTTGACGGAACTGGTGCCAGGGCCCCATTTGGTGGCAAAGGCCAACATTCAATCTGCTCAGAGGAAACCATAGACTTGGAAGAAGAGGAAGCCAATGTTGCTATTGCGCCGGCCCAAACCTCGAGCAGATCCTCCCTATGTCCGTTGGCAGCATACCAATCTTTGATAGAAGGCATCGCTACTGAAAGTCGCAAGTCCCTCATCGAAGTAAACTCGTCGAGCTTACCTACGCATGAACAAGTGGCCGTGTCCGTTCGTCAATACTTCGAATACTTCCATCCCATTTTTCCATTCTTGAGGCGATCTTCTTTCGCACTCGATGCTTCTAAGAGCTGGCTCTTATTACTCGCCGTCTCGGTCGTCGGCTCGAGATACTTGCAGCTATCACAGCATGCACGACTGAGTGAGCAACTTTTCGACCTACTAGGCGCAATCCTTACGCGTTCCAAGTATGGTATAGAGTTGCAGGTTGCACTAGGTGACAAGGACGTCGATTACGTACCTAGCTGTTCAGCTCAGTTTGACATCGTCCCTAGCATACGTGTCCTACAGGCCGGTATTTTAAATATCGCTTGCATGCTTCACTCTGGCAGAAAGGCTCTCGTTGAACGCGCCTTGATAGAACGACACTATTTAGTCGAAGCTTGCCACTCACTTCAATTGCTCGTCCAGTCGGAGGGACCTTACAACTTCAAAACGACAACTAATTTTGACTACGATGATCTTCTTGTTGAATGGCAGATGAGAGAGTCAAAAATCCGCACTGGGATGATGATATGGGTAACTCGTTTCTATTTGTCACGAATGATAAGAGGCTAATTGTAGCAGACTGTTGATACTTTGTTCGTTTACGAGTTTCAAGCCAAACCTCTGCTTCGAATCGAAGACATCGGTACAGTTCTGCCATGTCATGAAGATGTATGGGAGCATCCAGCCTTGATCCAACAAAACCAAAAAAGTATCCCTGATATTACGCTTACAGAGGCCTTGGAGATGATGTATGTTGAGAAGCGGCTACCAACTGGCCTCGGAGAGTTTAGCATGGGATTGCTTGTCACTACCATCTACCGACACACTGTCGATATTCTGGCTAGGGATAGAATCCAACTCAACTCGTGGACACCAACATCCACACCACAACGACGTAACGTCATGCCATCCGTACAGCAAGATTGGTTACCGACAACGCGGTTGGCAACTAAGTGGCGCAACAGCGCTTGTGATTGCTTAGATGTTCTACACTGGCCTGCGAATAGCAAGGTCGCTCGCCACTCGGGTTTCGAGCACCACACTATTCTCCAGCTGCATCTAGCTCGTCTAATCATTCTGGCTCCGACTAGCGCTATACAAAAATTTGCTTCGGGCTCTGCGTCAATAGAAAACATCCAGGGCGATAGGGATAGCCAGTCATCTGCTACAGCTCGTATCCAGGTTCTACAGTGGGTCATTCGAGATCACTGCAAAGCCAGACTTTGCTTGGTACACTGTGGAGCTTTGTTCTGGCACATCCGCAGGTACAGCTGTAGCAGTCTCCTCGAGCCATATGCAGTCTATATTGCGACTCTCGTACTCTGGGCCTTTTGTATCTGCATGCAACTTCCTGAAGCCGCCGAAGCTATTGCCTCCGAATCTGACGAAGAGCCAGAGCCATCATTTCTCCACCTTGATCGGCCATTAGACGATGAGCTAGTCCAAACATATGTGCGGATGGGCCATAAGATGTCGGCTTACATCGCCAATGTCGGCAGCCTTGAACATGAAGCAGCCCCAATGCGTATTGCAAGAGAAGGGATATCTTTATTAGCCAAAGACACTGAGCATGCGTCAGGTTCCGACTACAGTTCTACATCACGTGCCAAAGACGTATGTTATACATGGGGCATCGAAAGGTCTTATATAAGCCTACTGCATCTTCTCGCAAAGGCGCAATGAGAAATGTTTCGCGGCATGAGCCATGCGGAATTCACAGGTTCTGTACACTTCTGCTTGTCTTGTTGAGATGGCAGTTCTTCAAATTTCACTCTTGACAGCTTCCGCTTGTCATATCATGATCTCCGCAACACCTCGGTCATTTCAAGCAAATCTTTGCTGAGTACCAATGATAGTAGTATCACGTTTCACGCCTCGCGATAGCCGCAACTCGGGTCCCTCGGTATATCAGATTCCGGAACACATGGTGCTTCTCCGTCGGGGTGATTAGTGAAGGATCCACGCTATCGGTAGAGTGTCCGGGCCCCGCACGTGTGCTGATGGAAAATGCCGCGCCTAGGATCATCTCCACCGGAGCTGGGCTGGACCAGGATTAAAGTTGGCACAGCACAAACCCCATGGGGCATTCGTGTTCCGGTGGAGAAAACCTGGGGTAGCAGCCATGTTCCATGCATGATCGATTGGTTAGCTTCGAGGAGATGCCCAACTATGTATGCTATAGTCATGTCTTTGACTCCACTAATGTTACCTACAACATAAAGATCTCTACATTCATCTTCGTTCTTTCTACCTCAAGATCTTTTCACTTCTTCAGTAGCGTTGGAGCACATACCGATCCCATTCCATCATGGCAGACAAGGACGAAAAGGCTGCAACCATGGAACAGCACGAGGTCTTCGACCAGGCCAGAGCGGCAGCGGATGAAGAGCACGAGATGACATTAGTCCAGGCCATGCGGAAATATCCAAAAGCTGTGCTCTGGTCGGTGTTATTATCCACCTGCATCATCATGGAAGGATACGACATCGTCTTGATGAGTTCTTTCTTTGCACAACCATCGTTCTCGCGCAAGTATGGGGAGTTCAATGATCGTACTGGAACGTATGAGATAACGGCATCGTGGCAGAATGGACTCAGCAATGCTGTTAGTGTAGGCACGATCATCGGAGCCTTCGCCAATGGCTACTTTATCCATCGGTTCGGTTATCGTCCGGTCTTGCTGGTATCGCTCGCAGCCATATGTGCTTTGATCTTCATATCTTTCTTCGCGCCCAACGCGCCCGTCCTCCTCGTTGGCCAGTTCCTTTGCGGCATACCCTGGGGTGTCTTTGCTACCATGGCACCTGCCTACGCCAGCGAGGTCTGCCCTCTAGCTTTGCGAGGCTACCTCACAGTATATGTCAATCTCTGCTGGGCTTTTGGTCAGCTCATCTCTGCTGGTGTGCAGTCAGCGTTTTCTGGTAATACCACGCAGTGGGCGTACCGTATACCCTTTGCCATTCAATGGGCATGGCCCATCCCTCTTTTCGCAATTCTCTGGATGGCACCTGAATCGCCGTGGTACCACGTTCGTACAGGAAACCTCGAAATGGCTGAGAAGATGATCACGCGACTTTCTTCCTCTTCGCAACGACACCTCACTAAGCAGAAGGTAGCCATGATGGTCCGCACGAATGAACTGGAGAAGTCCCTTGAGGAAAATACGTCATATATTCAATGTTTCAAGGGCATCGACCGCCGTCGTACTGAGATCGCGTGCATGGTATTCGCAGCACAGCCTATCTGCGGTTCGGTAATGGGAGGCACGCCAGTAAGTATTACTGTGTGAATTCCATGTGAGACAGATACTGACGCCAAACAACCACAACCAGACCTACTTCTTCGTCCAAGCCGGCGTCCCAAACTCGATCTCATTCAAGATGTCGGTTGGTGGCCTCGGTATGGCATCCGTCGGCACTCTCATATCCTGGATCCTCATGAGCTATATTGGTCGTCGAAAGCTCTATCTGTGGGGGCTTGGTGGTTTAGCGACCATCTTATTCATCGTCGGTTTCATCAGCGTGGGCGCTGGTGACTCCTCCGGCGGAAACTATGCTCAAGCTGCCATGATGCTCATCTGGCTTTTCTGGTACTACATGACCGTAGGTCCAATCTGTTATGCCATCGTTGGAGAAGTCTCATCCACACGTCTTCGGAGTAAGAGTGTGTGTCTAGCTCGCATCACATACTACATCGCCCAGATTGTGACCAACGTCATCAACCCGTACATGTTAAACCCTACTGCGGGAGATTGGAAGGGCAAGACTGGTTTCTTCTGGGGCGGAGGCGCATCTATCTTCTTCATCTGGACTTTTTTCCGGCTCCCGGAGACAAAGGGACGGACTTATGAGGAACTGGATATCATGTTTGCTGAAGGCATTCCGGCGAGAAGCTTTGCGAAGCATACTATTGACGCATATGCTCATGGGGATTATGTTGATCGGAAACCTTCTGCAGATGAACGCATTGAGTGAGAGCTTGGGTAATTGGTGAAGCATATGTAAGATGCTATTTTCGTCCGATTCAGGACGAGAGCGCTGTCATCAGTAGCAATTTATTCGTATTTCTTAACATGTATGAGAACCATGAAACTCTATGTACTTACACACAGGGGGGGAAAACTGAGAATACTAATTTCATGGGGTCACTAGCTGAAGATCAGATACAGAGGCTTGTCAAGGTCCATTGATTGCCCACTAGTGGAAGAGCGGAGATCGGTGCACATGACGGATCGCTGTTGTGCTGCTTTTTGCTCTGTTTGTACCGGAACCAATTGTCAGCTCAGCCTCCACCCGACATTGTTCTGGCTGTAACATCCTCATACACTCTAGCCACAATTCTAATTCCACTTCGGCAACACGGATACGCCCATCGACTTCGACTACCATGAAGTATCCGTCAAGAAAGGCAAGAGCAAGAAGGAAAAAAGCGGAAAAGAAGTCTAAGAAGGCCGAGACTAGGTCTAAGCGCGAGTCTGACCTAGAGAACCAAGGCTTCGCTAAGCAAGACCTAAGAACTGGTGTTTGAGACAGTCAGGTAAAAGACATTAGCTTGTAGCGACTCGAGGAATCGAGTGGCATGTATAGCGTTTGGTATCAAAAAAGTAATTTAACAATGCTCGACAGTGATGCGATGGTAACAAAACATGAAAATTGTAAATGATATAGTGACATAAATTCTTGAGAGTAGTAGCAGTGAAGAAAGTGAACGTCAAGTAATGTTTCACAGCTCGTCTCTTCCGTCTTTAGCCTTCACCTTCAACGCCTCGACTGTGAACTTTACTTCCTTATCCCCCGTGTTCGTATGACTGATCTTCCCAATCACAGCCCCGTCCTTCGGTTCGTTCGAGTAGTTCTCTAAACCATCAAACACACCCTCACACTCCTCTCCACCCTCGTCAGCATCGTCAACCCACAAAGGGAGTATCGGGTAAATCGCCCCTGGTGCGAAGAAAACCATATCGTCCTGGACGCTGTAGTGTCGTTGTAGCGACTCGCGCTTAAGCCACTCTCGTACTTTGTACGGTATGTCTGCCATATTCATCTTGATGAGTTCACGCCCGGTACCGTGGACGTCGATGCCCGCCCAGGAGCCGGCGTAAAGTTGCTTGTTGTAAAAGACTTTGAGTTGGGGTGCTTGCTCTTCTAGATCAGGATATAGCTCATTGAGCTTGTAGATTTTGGCATTGTAGGTGTTTTTGTTGCGGCAGTGTTGAGTATAGGGTTTTAGGGTGTTGCTGTCCCATTGTGCGGTCCAGAGTGCGCCTACAGGAGTTGGCTCCTCAGCTGCTGGAGAGGCTGCGGCTGGAGGTGTGGAGGATGAGGATGAGGCGTCTTCGGCGGCATATACAGTCGCTACCAAGAGCGTTGGTGATAGCAGGGAGAGGAACCTCATATTGCAATCGATCGGATTCCTGTGCGTCGGAGTGAAGCGATGCTGGGCGATCAGAATAAGTGGTAGTGGAAGTTTCAGCGTTTTGACTGTATGCAAATGTCACGTCGTACCGCGTTGCCATCCCAAATTATATATCCATGATTCAATTTTCTTGCGTTCTGTCCTTTTCATTCCGCGCGAGATCCCATGACGTCTCCGCGTTGATGTTCCGCTTTCCATATTAAGGGCCAGGGTTGTTAGCGACGCGACAAGAACGCGATAGATTAAAAGAACACCGTGGAAGAGCGCTGCAATGACGATCGGCGTATACTTCGCCGAGAAATTGCCCACCGCACGCGCTTCGTTGTCGTAGGTTTCGTGCTTCCGAATAGTGGAGATTGGAGCGTGGAGGGACGCGGGGGCGAAGCTTCCATTGGAGAGCTAGCGCCCGCACGTGGAGAAGGGGCTATCGCCGCTCGTTTGCATGAGACCGGATTGCTGCTCTTATCGTTTTCCTTGTTCGGCATCCCTCATAAGCCCACCGTGGATGATGCCGTCGACATGGCTTGGCCTAGGAAAAGACACTCCTCGCCTTTCAGCCGTAACACGAATAGTGTTTCCCTTGTGTATAACACCGCGAGGATATTGCCAGCCCACATATACCCCCCGACCAAGACCAAAGTCTCCTTCCTAAGTCCAGAGTAAACAACGCATCTGTCAGTTTGTTTCGGCGACATATCGATATCGAAGTGCAGGTCGCTCAAACTGCCTCACTCACAGATAAAGCATGCAACCACACGATGAGACTCTTAAACTCTTTGTAGAAGCTGCTCAGTGATCTATGTCAACTTCTCGAATTAAATCTCGCTATGAAAGTGCGGGCTAAACCGCGCAAATTCTCGTCTCGAAATTCATCACTGGAACTAATCACTTCGGAGACGTCCGCGGCTGGATTGTGTTTGCCATAACCCTGATTTACGAGATCGTAAAAATCAGGTAGTGGATTTGTAATGCTCGCTATATCGTGGGTGACCCTGGCAAGGCGGAATCCTCTTCTTTGGGATTGCGCGTGGCACGAGGATCAACTAAACGTCTGCCACACGCGTCGCGAGGCTGCGATCTCGATGAGGCCGTTCGTAGTGCTGTGGGTATCGATTTGATCGTGCGCAGCCCAGTTGGTATAGTTTCGAATGATCTGTGGATGTCTCAAAGTCTGTATTGTTGGTATATGACTTACTGAAGATGAGGTGTGCCGGTTGTGGGGTGGAATCTTGCGTCAGGCAAGACGGCAAACCTCACCGCGCTAGCTGGAGGGTGGCTTACACTCGACCCACTAACAAGAGCTCAAACAACAGCCTTACCCGGACAATCAAGATGTGATGCACTTTGCAGCTGGGACAAACATCTGACACATTTGAATCTCCATTACGATCAAAAATACAAGTCGTATAGCATTTTATGTTCAGCCCTACCCGTCTCGATCGTATACGCACTATTCCAACACCAATTACTCATTATCTGGTTTCTATACTTTTGTTTGTCTGACAAGCGGCTTCAGTCCCGGGAGCGCAACGACGATGATTGAGAGAGTCATCTCTACCATACTCAAAGGATCTATGAGTGAACACGTTAGCTTGAATGTCGCGTACATGAGACGTGGTACTAAAGTGGTGGACTTACAAACAAGGTTTTCCTGTCCTGTTCCAACCTTGAGGCAGACGAAGCGCACGATACCGGAGGCAATAGTAAGCGCTCCCAACGCGAAAGTAAGGCCAACACCGGTCGAGGACCTGAGTATACCCTTCACCAAAAGCACCACAGGAACGGCGTAAACCACAAGATAGCAAGCCAGGTTCAAAGTGAAGTTCAGAATGAACGGCTCCGGCGCATAGAAGACAGAACATGCGCCTTCTTCTTGAGACCACTGCACAGATACAGGCGTGCCGCAGAAGAAGGTGTCATCGAAGAGGATAGTGAGGTAACTCGCGACAACAAAGGCTGTGATACCAAAGAGCATCTTGCGCAGTCCCGGGTGCCCGGACAGATTGAAGAATGCCCAGTAGAAGGCTAGCATGCTGAGTTTCGGGAAACCCATACCGACATCGTAGAAGTAATTCGAGGCGAAAGAGATCTGCGGAGCGGGTTAGCCGAGTATGAAATACGATAATATTAATGACGAACTACCTTTGACAGCTTCTCTGACGTCTCATAATTGTCCAAAACGCCCATCTTGTATGTGAGCGTGTCGCAGATGATCAGTCCCAAAGCAACCAGCGCAGATGCAATCAATAGGTAGTCCGACGCGTCCAACTTCGAATGGAGGCGAAACAGACGCGTGTACATGCGCGCAGCAACGAACAGGTATGCGAAAATCAGGAGGATCCATTCCGAGATCTGTTACATCACGACTTGTCAGCGTTGTGGTCTTTGGGTGAATCATGTGGTGTTTCCTATGACATCGGCTTACCATGCAGTCTTTCCCGTCAATGTAGTGTGCCATCTTCGCTGCTGTAGTGTGACAGAACACTTGCGAAACAAAGGATAAAGCCAACGAAGAGTGGTTCGCTCGCTTGGTTAGAGAATCGCAAGGCGTATGTATATGAACCACATTCCATCCCATGCAGGGTACTATATTTTGCCGAGCATACATCATGCCATAGCTACTGGAGACATCTCTGGGCGTACAGTTGTGCCGCCTATCATGCGAAACTGTTACCGGACATCAGTCCTGGACTGTCAAGATGCATATTAGCTCGTTCGCCCTGCATGCATGCGCGCGGAAAACTGCCTGTAATCGAGGCGCTTCAGGAGCCGTATTAGATGGGCTGATCCCAACTATGACCCTTGTGCCTCGACGGCTGTACCGTCTCGGTGGGTTTGGTCAATAGCGGGAAGGGCTTTTTAGGCGGACTGCATCCGGTTTCATATCTTTCGTGTTCCATTTGGCGTAGTAGATTGTTCCACGTCGATCGAGTATATGCACATCCTGCGTCGTTGTTGCTTTCGCGCAGCTTTTGGCTGTTAGCAACAAGCAAGATCAAGCATTGAAGGTGTCATCCCCTGTTCGGTTAGGCGAACCGGTGGGTGAAATTTGCCAAACGAGGCCTCCCACAGGCGAAGCCGTCGGCCAATGCCGACCCACAGAGTAACGGCAGGATTGCGGCACAGGTAACAAGTATTTTCTGAGGTGCGTGAGGACTCTTGGGTTCACGGAGTGATATACAGTTGCAGCTCGGTTGGAGGAGTCTTCCATCAGACGTGGCGCTCGGTGGCTTGTGCGGACCGCTGTCAGCGGAATGAGGTGCGATCCTTCCGGCTCGATGCAAGCGGCCTGCTCGACGGCACAGGGTCCATCCAGATGTGTAATGTTGAGATGATCCAGCTGCTAAAACTCGTACAAATGGACCTGGCCCGATCCTTTAATTCTTGTTGCCTTGGCTGATTCTAACTACAGCTCTACTGCAAACATCCACCCCCTGAACCGTTCTCACGGGTACTTTGCAGAGCTGTCGTGCTCTTCATCCTGCGACTTCGAGAACTGTACACTAACGCGATGAGTCTCGTAGATCACATCCTTCCTTGCCATGGTATTAAGCTCCACTTCGCTGCCTGAGTCTTCATCGGTGTGTACACGAACGCTGTGCTTGCCTCTTCTGGAAGGTCGCAAGAAGTTGTGCGAACCTGATGCTGGTGTTTGGTGCCCATAGGTACGAGACTCGGAAGAACGCGACTTCTTGTTGGAGGAAAATAGGGTGCCACGTCGCAGGAAGGATCTCATCGACGGTAATGAAACCACCATGATCGCGACAGCCATTTCAGCCATGGAAAGGACATCTAGACAAACGTCAGTCTGGGTCGTAATGTGATAGATTGCATCAACCTACAGACGTTGGTCCAAGCATATATGACCTCTATCGTTGCAAAGCGGACCATACTCATAGCTATGGTAACGGCACCGAGTGAGAACGTTGCAACAAGACCCCAGATCTGGCGACGGCGAAGCTGCAGTGAGCGAAGAAGCGGAAATGGCAAAGCAAAAACTATCGTTCCGAAGTTAGTGTTCAGAGTGCTTCGTGAATAGTATGCTGCGGCTTACTGAACAAATCTGATGTGACATTGAGGCTCCAATCGATCCGAAAAACTTCTTTTGAACTGAAGGTGTTGCATGCTCCCTCATCAGGAGACCAATTCTGAGAGACCTGGCGCCCACACCAGAAAGTATCAAGAAAGAACGTCGATATCATGGCAGTACCGGTAAACAAGGTTACCGCATAGAGTGCTTTTCGCAACCACGGCATCGTTGGCGGAATGAGCCTGAAGTACAGCGCGAGGATGGCCAGCTTTGGCCAGTAGATACCGGTGTCGTAGAACGCATTTCCAGCGAATTGCACCTATGAGTGTCAATTGTTCCGTCTGATCCATGCTATCAAGCTGCCGATTTACCTTCTTAAGCGCAATCACACGAGCTACCGATGGCTCTGGTGCATCGTCCGACATGCCTCCCCATGTGTATGTCAGATAGTCGGTAACGAAGAGCCCGATGGCATCCAGGATAGATGCTATCAGAAGGCTATCGCTGACAGTGGGACATTGTCGTTGCAGAAAGCGGGGAATCAGCCGACCAGAGGCCACAAGCATTGCGAGAGCCAGAAGAGTACCCTCGATGGGCTTTTCAGGTGCATTAGTAGACGGAAAAAAGTAGAGTAAAGTACTTGAGACATACAATTACAGACTCTGGAGCAACGCCGTTCGCCATGATTGAGGAGAACAAACAAATATACCATGAAGTGATCAATAACAACAGGAATAGAGAGAGGAAGTCAGACAAAGGTAGTCTTGTGGTTTCTAAGAATCGAGAGCATCGCTTGGGTGTATACAAGCTCGTAAGACGGACATGTATCGGGTCCGTCTCGCCATCTACATAGCGACTGTACCTGGTTGCTGCGATCGTACCACACCTTACTGCTCGCTTGGCAATTTGCGCGGAAATAATCAGTATGTCTGCATGCCGGGACCCGCAGTCACAGAGTTGGTACGGAACGACATGGGTGTATATGTCAACGCAGGGATCTTTGTTGAACGGTAAAAGGAAGGCCGAGGCGAAGGATCACGGCGCAGCCCAACAGGGCGTTTACCTGCCTTCCTATACAATGCAAATTCGCAGCTCATGGGAGCTAGTATCGTGTTGTGCCGCAAGAGAAATAATGCGGCTTGCATGCGAGGACGTTGCACTAGGTTTCTCGACGGCCATTACGTTATGCTTGGAATTCTTCTTCTTCGTTACTACAGCGTTTTGTAGAATTTCTGAATCCGAACATGGCTGTTTCTTTTGCTTCCTTGAATTTATCATGAGATGGCTGGATAGTGTGAAACTGATCTCGCGTCGCGATCATGTCGCGCTTTCGCGGCTACGCTCACCTCTTCTTCAAAGCAGCCTCAGATTCTGCAGGCTTTCTTCAGCAATTGTGTTCGCTACAGCTTATTTTCCGTGAGTGTTGAGACAAATATCAGACGGGAAGACGTTCGGCCGTTGATGCAATGAGGATCGAGACGGTTTAGTAGAGATCACGCAGCGCGCGCCATCATAGCGCGCCGGAGCGATGACGTAACACTAACGCCAATCTCCCATGAGAGAACCCAACGCGCATACCACAACAGAACGACCCCGCTACACAAATATGCCTGACAATTCCGAATCAGTTCCTTCTACTCACAGCTTCCTCGCGCTAGTATTCGTCTCGACCCTCTTCGCAGGCTACATCATCCTCCCAGCAGCCTTCCCGCAACCCAGGACAAAATACGACTACACAGGATGCATAGAATATCCGGAATATTGGGATTGCCCAGGAGATTATGTTGATACAGAACCCGAAATCATACAACTTCCTCTTTTACTCTATCTCTCTGCCTTGGCCTGCAGCACAGGCGTATTAGGTTGTTTGTGTCTATGGTGGAAATACCAGAGGAACTACAAATGGCTGATGAAGAGGATCTTGATGCCAGCTTTGTGTAATAGTTGTGCGGGACTTTGGTCAGCACTTGTGATCGCAAACGACGCGGAGAAGAGAGGATATAGCAGAACTATGAGGGTGGCTATGGTTGCTCCATCGGCTGGGTCAGTGGTGGCCGCGGGATTAGGTTTGGGGTATTATGCTGTGATGTCGTGGCTTTCTAAGCGAGGGCAGGACGTGAAGCCTGCGGCTTTAGAAAGAGGCAAGAAAAATAGGCAGGATGAGGATAGCTAGTCAGTGTATACGTAAGTTAGAGTTTGGATCTAAAAGACATTGGGTATCAAGGAACAAAACGCCAGCATCGATGTATAATGCACGACAACGCTTATCATACATTCTTACCCGCCTCTTGCTTCTGCTCGGCTGCTTTTGTCCTCTTCTTTGGCTCACTTGCCGCGTGCGCAATCGCTTTTACCATGTTGAAGAGAAAGATGCCGATAAAGACGATAGTCACAAATGCAAGCACAGCAACTACGGAAATCTGCATAGAGGGTCAGCTACTTTCTCTTGTGTATCATCGATGATCTGATACGTACCATGCTAAACACAACGAAAACATAACTGGCGCGAAGGAATGCATAGTTATCTTCGAGTTCTTTGAGGCCTGAACCGACTTGCATAGCGGAAAGGACGAGACTGAAGAAGACGAATACGATAAGGATCCAAGAGAAGTTTCGCTGGAAGAAGATCACGTAGCGATTGTATCCGTATCTATGCGAAATTGTTAGCCAATATACCCTATCAAAGCCTCTATGCCAACTTGTTCCCATCGGCAAGGATGTACTTACAGATATCCTCTTACAAAGTGCGTATGTGCATACCGTATCCGATAGGTGCTGTTGATTCTTCCCAACCTCAAATCGCCGAACTGATACCGCTTATTCACCTGATGTAGCGTGTTGATATCCACATGGTGCATGAAATCCCTCACAAAATCTTTCCACCAGTGCCAAGTTATGAAACTTGGCAGGAGCGTGCATTCGTGTGCAATCTTCAAGTCGAGTGGTGTAGTGATGAGCCACACATAGCTCACCAAAAATCCTGCGGCACTCTTCCACAGCCAGCCTTCTTCTCTCTTGATATTGTTGTTAGAATCAGCATCGCCTGGTTGACAGATATGCTCTCTCCAAAAGTCATAGCTGAGCATCCACTCTGGCAGTGGCTTGACTAGCAGTTTGTTTGAATATTTCAACAAATGTAGATCCATTTGTTGTGTGCCTAGCACTTCCATGCCCAGCATCCTGTATCTGTGCAACGGTCTAGCGCGCATCGGCCGGCCTGCCATCCATAGGTGTCCATGTATGCGATTGAGGCGCGAGAGATCGAGATCGTGTTTCAAGAACTGGCGAGGGTCATCGTTGGCAAGGTATGCCTCGTTGTTCCTGCCGCTTATGGTTGGAAGAGAGTCTTCCGGCGTTAGCGGTATGGTTGTGACTGAGTCCAGCACAGGCTGCCCGCTTGCCAAAGCGTGACCCTGGTTGGGGTCGATATGACCATTTTGATGCACGAGTTCACGTGCTGTGGGGTTGCTGGAGTTGGCAGCCGTGGAGGGAGGTGGAATCGGACGAGAGGAGAAGGGTGGTCTCAATGCGCTGCTCTGTTACCTGTAAGCATTCGTCCAGCCTGTTCCAACGCCATTATGCAGTGCGTACAGTCTGTTCAGTCGTCTTCTCGTTCATACTGCACATCAGCGATTATTTCAGATAGTCTCATGAGGGATGAAATGCAGCGCAGGGCTCTATATGATGCTTGACGCCGGCAAGCTTGCTGCGGCTGTAGCACGAGGCTCACATATGCAGGCACACCGCGCACGAGGCAGGCAGGCATCAACTCCGCCTTCTCGATGGCGCGCGGGAGCTACGCACTAGAATGTGGGGGCTGAAGACGGGGGCTAGACTGCTCCTGAGGCTGAGTCTTGGTATGGCGATGAAGATGCAGCCTGGGAGCTTGATTGGTGAGCAGATTCGTGCGCACTATTTATATCTGCGGACAGGTACCAAGCCACCACCACAAGGAGAGACGCGGTCTGCTTTGACATGTCACTCGCGTCGACTCCCAGTCTGAGATGGCTGACATTACACCACAACTACACTATCGGGAAGTGTTGCAAGCTGGCATACTGTTGCTGTTGGAGCACGAATCCATGCGCAATCTGCATCAAGACGCAAGAGCTGTTCATTCTGCCTTAACTTGAGTCCACCTTAGTCGTTCTGCATCTGGTTTGTGAAACCAACAAAACTGCTGAAACGCCATAACACCACCTTCTAATGCAGTTTTGGATATCATTGAAGTTCTTCTGTTCCCTACACTCGCACATCGCCCAAAGCTGGCCCAACTCATTTGCAGTAGTTAGCGGGAAAGCTGCCCTTTTGTCCGTGTATCTCGCCCTCCCACCAGTCTTGCGAGCTTTCAGTCTTCTTCACCACACGAATCCGGTCGCCCTCTCTAAAGTTCAAGTCGCCAGGAGTAAGACTATCGAAATCATACATGGCCGTCACGTACTCAGACTGGAACGATCCAATCTTCTTAGGGGGCGGTGGAGGCGGCTTTTTCTTCCCTGCTGCTGGGTTAGGCGATGAGGGATAACCGCTTGGAGTCGATCCATTCGAGACAGGGGTTTTGTTAAAGTAGGAATCGCCATTTGTTCCGTTTGAGTACGAGGAAGCCTGAGAGGTGGAGGAGGCACGGCGGCCATACATGTCCTGCCCAGCGCTCAGATGGGGTGAGCCACCTATCTTTGGCTTCGAGGCGCTAAGAGAGCTGTATGAAGGCTTGCTAGAGAGGCTTATAGGTGGACCGCTTTCGGAAGTGGACGAAAGGGTCTGGGATGGTCGCGCAGGTCGTCCGCCTCCGGTGATGGTAGGCACACTGTCGTTGCTGCTGGCTCTCCTACCAGGCATGACCTTATTTCTAATGCCTAGGCCTGTCAGTGTATCTCCCTTATCCGGTAGTCGCATCGGCATGTGGACTGCCTTGCCGGTCTTGAGCAAGCCCAAGCTTGTTTCCATCTCCTGGCGCAGTGGTGTGAAGTTTGAGTCCCATAATGGTATGACTTCTTCCGGCTCAGGTGGTGGGTCGGGGTATCCTTGCTCGTGTGAGTACTGGTGCAGTACAGTATACAAGTTCCCAATCAAGTTATTCTGTAGGACGATCTGGTTCGCTAGGAGGTGCGGTAGGATTGAGAAGGTCGCGGCGTTCAGACGTGGTAGACGTTCTCGTAGATTCTCGTCAGCAAGCTGGTATGCGTGGGTAGAGCGCTCGAGATCGACTTCGTGTTTGGCGAGAGCGCTGTTTTCGCGCTCCGAACGCGTTTTCTTAGCATGGAGGGCTTCGCAGCGGCTCTTGTAGCGCTCATAATCGACCTATTATCGCTTTGTCAGTACATCCGATAGCGCAACTCGGAGGCTGTCTGACCTTCGCATCTTCCCGCTTCTTGATGGCTTTCTCCATGGGCTTCAATGCATCTCGAGCGAGCTTCGCCGGTATGACCAGTTTCCTGTCGATGTCTTTGACCTCCTCCATCATATCCGTCTTCAGTTCCGAAAAGGCCTCATGGAGGGCATGGACACGCTCCAGGACGGCAGACGGAGTTTCGGCATGTACATGGGTGCTGTTGGAGCCTTCGCCGCCAAGTGGTTTGAAAATGGTGTATAGTAGCTCGACCGAAGTGAGTTGATGGTTGAGGATGTTGGTCCACGCGTCCCGCCATTGCTTTGCTGACGCTTCGAGCTGGGCGACGAGTTAGTCCAAAACTCGGCAACGAAATGAAGAGCCGACTCCTGTGCTGGATAGATATGATGCATTGCGTCCATTGACGTGGATGGCTGGTGTAGGACTTGATGAGATTAGGGATGGCCCCACTAGTTCATAGGACCGAACAATGTGAGATGACAAGCCACATCGGACGTACCTTTTCCAACATAGTCTTGGAGTCGTTGAAGTCCTTCAACATGGATTCGACATCAGCTTCATTGGGCGTCCTCGTGAGGAAACGCCCCGTAATCCTCTGCATGCGCTGCATCTTGCGACGTGAAGGCAGCAATTGTGTGCGAGGTAGGCCTGAAGTAAAAAGAGGACAGAATAACCCAAGTAATGGGCAGCAGGCAGTAAGTAATGCTTGCGCGTCCACTAGCGGTGGCTGTGCTCAAAGCTGTGTGGTAATTGAGGTGAAGGTGAGCAGGGGTGATAGATGGCCCCGCACCAGTTGTCGCAACAACTCGCTGCCCGCTTAGACCAGTTTCTAGTCTAAAGGTGGATTGTGAAAGTCGTCGCGGAGAAGCTTAGTTTGCTAGAGCTAACTCGCAGCAACGAGAAGCGAATTGTGGCTATACCCGGTGCCCGCATCTGGTTTCCTCAGCTCGGCACCGAGAAGGACCGTGGATCAGACGGCATGGTGATGCAAGGCCACTCAGCATTGGGCTGCCGAGCACGAAGACGTGTCATGACTGAAGTGGAAAAGACTGGATACGGATACCCCTGGTATGTTTCCGGTGAAAGCTCAAGGGTCCTAGGGCTGGGTAGCCACTTCCGTAGTGTGCGACGCTAAACCACGTGCTCGCGCGGAACAGCAGGCGCGGTTTATCCCGCCGAGGCGCGTCACCGTCACCTCTCTGGCCTTCACCCTCCAGCACGACCCCGCCTCCATGTCGCCCGCGCACAAGACGACGCGTCTCAACCGAACCGATACGCCATGACGGCCCCCCGTAGCACCCAATATGCTTCCACCATCGCAGCCATCACCGCCTCCCAAAACAGCGCGCCCGTCGCCGAATTTCGGTGCCTGTACACACAAGACGTAAAACGAAAGCAAAAACGATGGCAGGATGGATACCTCAAGTTCCACACGTTCAACAGCCGAGTAATGGTGTACGACCAAGCAAGAAACTTTCTGGGCGATACATACCACAAGGACAGCAACCAAGTGCAGGAAGGCGATGAACTCACTTTGAATAATGGCGCGCTGGTAGAGGTCGCCGAGCCCATGGGCATCACACATACAGACCTGACACAACTACTCGAGAAGAAGACGAAAGAGCAGCCCCCATCCCGCCCGACCGTTCCTTCACAACCGAAACCGTTCCAAAGACCGTCATCGGTAGCACCGGCCAACGCCCAGCGAAGCGCATCGCAACTGCGCCATAAATCACTTAATACCCTGCTTGGAACGCCGAAAGGGCCAATCGGGAAGGCCCAACCTATGAAGTCCCCGTACGAGGCTCGGAAGGAAAAAGAGAATGAACAGATTGAGGAAAGCGCGCCGAAGAGGCAGAAGACGGTCCAGCCACTCTCCAACCGGAGGGAGTCCAGCCCGGTTCAAGAAGAAAGCCCTATAGCAAAGAGAGACTCGAACATACCTTCAAGACAACCGGAAGCGAAGAATGCCCGAAAACCTGCTAAGTTTGTGCCGCCGACAGCGACCGTCATCACGATAGAACCCGAGTCCGACCCTCATTCAGCGTATTTATCAGACGTAACGCTCCCAAGCACACCACCAAAACTTCGTAGAGCGAGGGCACAATCTGGCGTAGTCCATACTCCAGCTCCGCAATCCAGTATATCCCAGCAATCATCCGTACAAACTCCAAAGATACCTAAAGGTAAGGTGCCGATACCAAGTGCAAAGGCTTTAGAGACTCCAAAGCAACGGGCCCCACCATCCTCACCCCCAGTGAGCGCCTCCAATCGCCTCATGAACGTCGATTTTGCGGTTCAACCGATAAAGGAGTCATCCAAAGACCCTACACCTACAGCGCAGCCTTCGCCTCCTCCTAATCGCAAAGTCAAATCGCTCCGGTTGTCTACAGGTGTAAAGCGCGGAAAGTTGCTTTGTCAGTCTTTGCCCCAACAGACAGTAAGAGCTGGGGGCGAGGCCAGAGCGACCAGCTTCAAAGCCAGGGTTCGGTCAACATCACGCATAACAAGCAAGGAACCATCGCCTGCAGTGTCGCAGAACAGTAATCCTCCACCACAAGAACTTGTCTCTGAAGCGTCCAGACGGATGTCCAAAGACAAGCGAGGAAGGACAGATGCGGAAGATAATGACGACGTTGCGTTAAAAAGAGCGAGGGTCTCCAAGTCACCATCACTGCCATCGCTGAGTGTCCTGGAAGATCCAGAAGTCATACACGGCTTCATGGACCAGCGACTATTAGTACCCTCGTCTCCTCCACAACCTCAGATCATGTCTTCTTCTCCTCCAGAGAATGTTCCCCAGTCTAAACCAGCTGTCACCAAAAAGATGAAGAAGATATCCGCTGAATCATCACCTAAGCCCGCGACTGCGAGACCAAAGTCACCTCCATCAAAGGAAACCGTCCGGAAAGAGCAGTCACGAAACAGCACTGTAGAGAAGCCCGCGCCAGCACACAAAGTCCCATCGCCTCCCATACCCGCGCTCGATCCACCGATACCGGTATCGAGAGACGTGTCGCCAGTGCATACCGAAGCATCAGAAGCACGATCACGTACGTCTTCAACCTCGCCTCGCAAAGTCCCCCTTTCAACCGGCGGTATCCTCAAGCGGCCAGCAAAGCGAACCAAGAAGCAACCCACCTCAACCACCACTATAGAGGAAGGCTCTGCTTTACCCCCTCGTAATGAGCCCGTAGCTCTGCCGCCACATCCCCTTCGGGCAAACAAGAAAGGACCCATGATGAGCACAACCGAACTAGCATCTCTTCTCCAAAAACCGAACAACCTGGCCAAGGTTCTCGCGGATCCTATTGAAGATGGCTTAAATATCACCAGTGCAGGGAAGTCGCCGAGCAGAAACTTCAGACGTGTGAGAAGTGAGAACGATGCACCGATACCCAGTGCAGCAGACGATTGGGAGAAGCGCAACCTAGCAAAAACCTCAAGCGATGCTACAGATCTCGTAGACGAACCGACAGCGATCGCCGTGACTGAGGAACCAAAGAAGAAGAAAAGCAGTGGGTTAGATGCGTTGATCAAGCGAACAGATCCTAGACGGAAGTTCAAAAGGACGCAGAGCCTGCAGGTGGAAACCAATGTATCACCGCCGGCTGGGGCAGAGATTGAATTACCGAGCCCTGTAGTAGATAACGATGTTGGACCATGGAGTACGGAGGCTGGCGACTTGTTCGACTGGAGACCGCCCGGAAGGGGCTGAGGGTAACAAGAGTACATGAAGAGTTTGCGTTGATTTGTGAGTGATTGTTGGCAGCAATGTGGTATGAGGCTATGTAGCGACGATAACACGATATTGATACCCCACAGCATCTGCTGTTCTAATCGCCGCTTTTTGCCAACGGTGGTGTTCATCATCGTCATGCTTTCGCTAACCTCATTTCGTGGATTCTTCTAAACTTTGCTCTTCACATGAAACAACTGAGGTATGATTTCGAAGCTACGGAATCTCAGAACGTACACCTTGTGAGACAAATGCCTACTTGGTAGGCGCACTACCTGGACAGCCATAGGATACCCTGCGCGGTCTGTAGGCTCTATATGCGATGGTAAGTTCAGCAAAGTCTTCGAGTAGAAAAAGAGAGAGATACCACGATCTCATGGAGGCATATGCATTTCATTTGTTAGGAGTCAGGCGTCCAAGTCGAACGCCGGACACTGCACACACTGAAGTTGTGCGACATTCCGGTGTCGATTTTGGAAATAAGTGTGCAGGTATAGGGTTCTGAATTCAAAGAACTAAGAGGAGCGCTGAGAGATGGATGTCAAGCCATCTAACGAACTTTCACGTCATGGCAACACCACTTAGTTTTGCTGTCTTCTCTCCTCTCATCATATCACTAGAAGCAAGATCAAGAATGAATATGCTTCGTTCATCGTTCTTCACATTGCTACCAAAAGAAATCCTGAACGCCGGCATGTTGACTGTGCGCCACACGACTTTGCCCTGTCCAGATAAACCCTGGACTCCAAACCATGGCTATATACACCAAGCAAATCAATATTGACCTCGAACACTTCAAAGGTCACTGCTCGTGCATACAAGAGGATATATACGCAAACACCTCGTCCTATCCAGAACAACCGAACGCCCATCCTGTAGCACACAAGTGTCGCAGGACCCAAAGTCAATCTACGTCTTGACAACCAAGTCTACGACGTCTTGGTCTGCTTCTTCGCCGTTCCGATGTGCGTGTTGTAAACCTTAGTTGCAAATTTGAGACTCGTAATTGTCTCTTGAAGATGTGCTTGTAGCGGGCTGACCATGACGAACATGAGCGTTTTTGAATTGCCACCCAATGAGTATTGGAGGAGGTATGTGAGCTATGAAAATGTTAGTACAAGAGTTACTCCAGATCGAAACTGTGTAACATACCTTCGAGTTTCTGTATGGCACATGTGTGCCTTCCTTTGCCGATCCAAGAGCGTTGATGACATCTCCCAGACAGCTCAAACTTTTGTTGATGTTTTGTGTCTCCTTGAGGCGCGCACCTTCAGCCTTGGAGTGTTCAAGTCGCTCTGAGCCGGCAAGATCGACCAAATTGAGCGTACCTTCGCTCCTTTCACCAGTAATCTCATTGGTACCGACAAGCTTCAGAATGAAGACAGAGTGACTTCGACTGGAACGCATGTTGGCCTTGGTGGCAGCGACCGTCCTATTCTTGTCGGCGGTCGCTAAGATTTCCTCCACGCGACCTGGACCGTCGAGCTTCACACTGACTGCACCGTCAAGGTTCGTTTGCTTTTTCGCCGCATCATGTCGCACCTCGACCTTCTTCTTGTCTAGATCCTCTGAACGACCGAGCAGATCGTTGTACGTCTCGTTGTAAACTTCGAGGAAAGAGCCTTCCATCTCGTATTTCCAGCCCTTCTCTTGCAATCGCTGCGCTTCATCCCAGATCTGGGCTGTCGCACGGGGGATCATACCATCAGCTGACGACATGGTATGTGTTTTTCCAGCTCCTGTCTGACCGTAACAGAAGATGCAGACATTGTATCCATCAAGAGCGCTTTGTACAAGCTGACTGATCTCCTCGAAAACTTCGCTGTTCTGTGACGCTGGGCCAAATACACGGTCAAACGAGTACGCATAGGCGGATGTAATGTCCTTGCCAGTTGCGCTTTGCTTGCTTGGACCAAGCACTGCCACTTCTTTGCTGTCGGTATCGTTGTCCGGGAACGAGATTTGTGCCGGATTGCGTTCGGTTTCATGGGCGGGTCGCACACGACACATAACTCTGATGTTGCCCTTGAGTTCCTGCACCTGGTTGAAAAGTTTTCGGCGTAGTGTCTCCTCTTGACGAAGCTTGTCTTGCGCTCTTTCAGCAGCTTCAATCGCATCTTGCATTCGTTTGTGAAGGTCATTGAAAGCTTGCGACTGGGCCTGGCTGTCGGACTCGAGGAAGTCGATCTTCTCCTTCATCGCCTTGTTCGCTGCGTCCAATGTAAGGTTGTTGCTTGTTGCTTCTGTGAGTTGAACTTGAAGGCTATTCTTGAGCATCCTCTCTCGGTCAAGCTCGGACTTGACATTAGTGAGTTCGCCCTGGACCAATTGGGCCTCGCGGTGTTTTGCGTCTGCTTCCATCGCAGCTGCTCTAAGCTTTGAACCATACTCCTCCTCGATCTTTTGTGCTTCTTGTACGCGCCTGCTTCGCTCCGTTTCCGTGTCGGCGTCCAGTTTCTTCCGCAAGCCGGCAAGTTCTTCGTCGTGTTCTTTCAGCAGTTTGTCGATTCGTCCTTCGAGCTCGATGCGTGTCTTCCTCTCGACCTCATCTCGTTCTCTCTCCATTCGGTCTGTGTCTTTCCGATGCCGCGACTCCAGATCCTCGACCTCAATGCGTAGTCTCCGCCGTACATCTTCAACTTCGTATGTGTGTTTCTGCTGCATCATCTCGAGTTCCATCTTTACTGACTTGAGGCAACTTCGTGTATCGTCGAGCTCCGACTCTAGGCCCTTGTTTACGATTTCCAGACGCGCGCGAATAGTTTCGAGTTCCGTGACTGTTGGGAACAATATTAGCATAATGACGTCCACGGGCCGAGATGGAAGAGCGTTATTCTTGACCTACCGCGACTTTGAAGCTGCTGAATCGATTCCTTGTAGTCAGTAGCCTGTCGCACATCTGTCTCCATCTTCTCCTTGAACATGCGGAAGTCTCGTTCCATCGCCTCCATGCGCTCATTGTAGAAATCTGGACATCGATCGTTAGTGAAGCGATTCAGAAAGGGCTTTTGTGCTGATTTCCGCGGTGTAGTAGATGGAGGCCGGAGCGGCGACGGGTCTACTCGCTGCTGCCGAGCCATTGTCGGCGTACGCTGGGGAAGTTGAGATGGAGGTATCTTTGGCTTGAGAAAAGGGTTTGTCCCGTAGTCAGAAGTCGTACCACGTCCGATTTGACTGCCACACACGTCTGCCTTGGCCGCGCCCAATGTGAGCGCGCCAACCGCTGTGCAGATGTCGTCGCAGTCTGTATCGGCAGGCTCTTCGATGACCGGAGTGACGGAGCGGAAGTGGGAAGGAGAAGAAACCGCTCTTGGACCTGAGGTACCAGCGATCCTGTGTTGGGATATATTGAGGGAGATTGTACGCTTCTTCAGATAAGAAGGCATCCCACCAGGCATTCTTGCACTGGTGGAGGGGTTTGTAGAGATAAGAAATGGTTGCACACCTTTGCGCTCTGCTTGCTCACTGTCGTCATCGTCATCTCGGTTTAGCATTGCTGTCGCAGGGCGCGGCCCTTGCTGATAGGACTTGCTCCTAGCATGGCTTCCATGGCCATAGGCCGACTTGGGTCTCACAGCCCCGGAAGCCTTAGGCGCTCCGCCCACACTGCCACTGAGAGTAGAGGCTGCAGGATGTCTCGCTGTCGGTTTCGTAGTGGCACGCGATGTAGACGCGGCGAGTCCACGCGGTACGATGCTTTTGATCCCACTCGATATCTTAGACGGCGGGGGCTTTAGTCGAGAAATGGGCTCGCCAGCCTGCTCTGCAAGAGTCTTCCGTTGCTTGAAAGCCGGCTCCGGTACTGGTGTAGTTAGCGACCTGTCCGGTGCTACTGATATAGGGAGGGGCAATATACAGCCGGAGGGCTTGTGTTTCGCTGTAGGTATCGGCATTCCACTTCGCGCGTTGGCACCGGCTTCGTGCAATTCGCCGAGGGCGCGAGTCGGCGATGAGGTGATGTTGGAAAAGGTCGAGGGTGGTTTAATGCCTGAGCGCTTCGTGGTACTCTATACAATGGTCGCGAAGTCAGACTTGCGCCGGGCAAGGGATGGGGGCATACGTACAGTGTTTTCGTTCGCAGCGTCCATAATCGAATCTTGTCTACCTACGTCTAGCGGAGGAAGGATATCAGTAAAGCATACCCCGGCGCGGCCAAAAAGCACAAGCGCGTCGTCGTTGTCGTTGACGTTGCTGTTGCGGAGGTCGGATATCGATTGTTTGGGCCTGCGCTCGGACGGTAAACAGAGGAAACCGCCATCCCTGTAGCCACATGCTAACTTCGGTTAGCTGGCATGTCGCGAGCAACGCCGTGCCATCTCGACTCCATGCATGGTTTTGTCTATGCCAACCTCGATGTACGAAGCCTTATCGAACATAGACCGATGACCAACCGAGATATAGCTTCAAGTCGCGTTATCGCTGCCATCACCTAAAAGGACCAATACTATGGCATTCACACATGTCTGGATCTCGTAGTCTCTTCGATTGGACTTGCAATAGACATCTCCCTGCGCTGCGCCGGGACTAAACACCTACGTGCCCAGAAACAAGAAGTCGGAACGAAGAACATGAGAGAAGACAGAGGAAGCTAGATATGGTCGTTTTGAAAGTTCATAGTGATATCATGTTGATATTGCATACTAGCGATAGATAACTCGGTGCTATCAGCTCTGAAACTTCTTACTCAGCGATCTTCCTGTCTCCACCACCCATCCGTCCTGTCCTTTCCGTGGTTCACCACCACCTTCTCCTTCATCTATCGTTTCCTCCTGCCCCAAACCTTCAGAAATTCAACCTTATCCTCAACGCCTAACCCAACCCTCTTGACTCTGCCCAACCTCGCCAAGTCCTCCGCGACCCTTTCAAGGACCTTCTGTTCATCTTCGCTAACAATACCATCAACGTCGTTCACAGCGCCGCTAACATCAACATCCATGCCATCACCGGCCTCCCCATGCTTGCCACTGAATCCGTTCCTAAAGTCAGGTTGATCGAAGATATTTGCATCGTAGCCTGATGCCTTGATCGGTGTTTGCTTCGAACTCGATGTAGGACGAGAGGGCTGGTCCTGGCTGCTACTGTTGTATACACGCGAAGCGATGCGTACTCGCATCTGATGTGACGGCTTGCTGAGCAGGCCCCAGAACCACGATGCATATCCACCGGGAACGGGAGTTGTGACATCTTGGGGTGTGTACCGAAGATTAACAGGGTAGATCTTCGTCTTGCCATCTGCACTCAGCAGACTGGGGCATAGCGGGAGGATACCTCTGCCGTTTGTTGTAGTAGTCTCGGGAAATACGCAAATTATTCTGTTCGGGTTCTCGTCGGTGAGCTGTTTGAGTGAGACGAGCTTGGAGGAGTCGGGTGGAGAAAGGACGGGCGGGGAGAATGCGTGAAGAATGGCGCCCAGAAGCGTTATGCGTTCGACTTTTCGGTGGTCGGGGTATGAGCGAGTGAAAATCGGTTGGAAGATACCGGCGAGGTAGAGCGGATCGAGGGGTGATGTAAAGGAGGACGCGATGATCGTGCCAGGTTTGGGGAGGTTGTTTTTCGCAGAGTGTAGTTGTCTGTTTGATGACTTAGCAGCGACTCAGGATATTCGACCTCCAGACATGGCTTCTATCTGACCTCCACCACGATTCAGCTGCAATCGACGTTTTGACGTACCCTCTCTTAACACCATCAACCTGCAAATCCACCCACCACACACCAGGGATGCCCAGCATCAGCCATAGCACCGCATACTTCAGCCTCCTCCCAATAGGAAGCCATTCCAATATTACGAAGTATAACAGTGAGAAAGCCACGACAAAGGGTGCGCGCACGCAGAAGAGGAAGAGGTATATTGGTGACCAGATGATACCGACCGGTGGAGTAGGAACGGGGAGGAACGGCGCTATTGCTGTGCCTGTAGGTCTACTGTTAGCTACATAGTTACTTTTTTGGGGAATATATCAAACGTTTGTACGTCGAAATCGACGGCGAAAGGCGGAATCAAACAAGACGTCGTGGGAAGGGGACGTGAGAATAGATTGAACTCTCCAAGAATCGCGGAGGAGTATCATTAAACGCACCTTTATCGCGGAACTGACTATATCTCTCCATGACGAGTTATGTCTAGCAAAGAAAGATTCAGGTGTGGGCGTAGTGTCACCGAGCCATCTAAGGCGAAGCCAACTTGCAACAATCGCGAGCGGAACGAGCCTTTAGCGAGAATGAAGGATCGTCACAGCGAGGCTATGTAGACGAAGCAAAGACACAGGGCGCAGCGCTGCCGGTAAAGGCTGGACAAGCTTCTTACGTTGGACCCTTCCAGCGTGGCGAAGACGTAATGCGGAGTGTGTTTGGGACGCTTTGGGCGGGACGCAAGATGAGTGGTCGTGCGAGTCATGTAATTTCGACATGTGAATGCCAAGACAGGCGTTCTGTTGGTCTGTCAACGTCATGTGCGCATATGACACTACTGACAGGAAAGACGTTGGACGGTACGGTCTACATCCAGAGCTTCTTGAGGGATTCTAGATCGTGGTCTGACTATAGGAAGTGGTATTGACTATATAGTTACCAGTTGGCTAGCACTCCTGCCAGACCGTCAAGACAGACCCGTGGACATATATGAGCGATGAAGGAACCGAGCCAAACGACGAGCAGCACTAATACACGCTCCAGTCGTGGGTATGAACAGACCATGCATGTTCCAGCCAGCAATGCAAAACCAACAAGAAAGCACACAAATGTACAAAGGAAATGGTATTGATGGTAAGTGCAACGCGACCCCAAAGAGTCTGGCGCGTCGCATATGTAGAAAGGGGGTATGTGCCAATATTACTGCTTATTTTCGTGGCCTCTCCTGCCAAATCGACGCCATTCTGCGCCAATGTCCTCCGGTTTTGTTGCGTAAAAGAGGAATGTGACTCATTGCAGCTCGGGCGCTGGCGGGGGTGGGTATCGAAGCACATTGCGCCGAAGCCATGCTCGCGGCAGTGGAAATCAAACACGCAGAGTCTGAAGCTGCAAGATGATCCTCAACCACTAGTCTCACATCTGCCCCCCTCAGACCGCCTCTTGATGCAGATTACAACTGATTACAAAGTACAGGTTCGAAGCTGCAAGAGCAGCGCTCCTACGGCTTCGACTTGAAGAAAAGTGATTATGTCGGCGCGGTGAAAGGGCATGCGCAGGGGTGTTCTCTCATCACTGTCGTCTCAATTCATGCTTACAAAGCAACATCAAGCACCAGACTGACATCGCTGACCTGCTGGCCAGCCAGATCCTCAAGCACGGGTATCAGGTCGAGAAGCTCGTTGTCGTGTGCGTCAGAGAACCAGCTGCTGATGGGAACGGCATGTTGCGGGTGGAAGATGTACGACGTGGGCGAGTTGTCGATGATGATGGTGTCCTTGAGATCGCGACCGATCTGTGAAAGGTCCTACAATGTGTTAGGAATTGAGAAGCAGGATGATGTAAGTAAACATACTTTGACATAGTTGCCCTGATGGTTGTAGCAACTTTCGCGGAACAGTCGGTGATGGACAACACCGTGGATGTCAAGCTGGGCGAGAAGTGGGTCACCGTACTGTAATGGTCAGCATACATCATGTATTAGGAAGAGTTCAAACCAAGCTTACCTTTGATACGGACGCAGTGAACACAACGACCTCGTAGAGCTCGCCCACTCTCTTCATGAACTGGTCGACGCCAGGTCGCTTGATGACATAGACATTGTGGTATTGTCCTTCGATCTCAACAGGGATGGTGAAGTCGGCTTGATGCAGAATCTGGTGCCGCATTAGTAAACAGAAGCAAACGCTCTATGTATCACACATACCTTGAAGCTGCTGTGGACCAAAGTCTCGTCCAGGTCGAGAACCAAGCACTTCTTCCCTTGGAACCTAGGTGCAATGGGTCCCAAAAGATACTTTTGTGGCTCGGCCGCATCAGCTACATCCGCAGTCTGGTGTTGCACTGCAACCTGCCTCTCGGCGAGCGGCGGGGGTGGAGGTAGATCAACCTTGGGATGTTCAGCCTCAGCCTCTGCATCCTTCTCCTCTCCCTCTTGATGAACATCATTGGTCGATAGCGGCACATCCTTCATCTCAATGTCGTTGTCGATCTGCTTCTGCTCCTCGGTCTGGTCCTGTATTATGCGCTCCTGCTCTGCTGATGGCCGAGGAAGTACCGGAGTAGCGGTGGGCGTAGGGTTTGTGATGCTTATCTGGGGATGGCCAGTCTGCAGAGTACCGGGCTGGGGTGGGGACACTGCTTCTGTTTGCTGCTTCTGGGATGGGCTTCTTGTGATGACCGGGGGCGGCGTTTCCACTGCTGGCTGTTCGGTTGTGCCATCGTTGTGGATGGGTTTCTCAGCAAGATCTGCTCCTGATGTCTCGGTTCCAGTCTTCTCATCAAGCGGGTCTTTTGAGTCCGTGTTGCTGGACTCAGCAACAGTAGGCTCCTGCTTCTTAATAGGAGTTGACTGAGACGTGCGGCCGGCGGGCACCTTCTGAGCTTGCTTGACATTTTCCAAAGGCGTAGAGTCGTCTCGCGATTCCTTTGGTGCAAAGCACGGCAGGCAGGACAACAGACCCCCAGACTTCTTCGTCTTACTCCGTGTCGATGCTGGACGGTTCGCTGTGGCAGGCACCGGAGGCGGTTGTTCGTTCTTTTCCGAGGGTGCAGCACGCGGGTGAGAGCGTTTGCTGCTCGCCGTGCTGCCAGCTCGTCGCTTGCCCATGAAGCTGCGCTTCGAGTGCTTGGAGCCTCGCCCAATACTTTCGGCGTCTGCTGCAGTTGCGCCGCTAAGGCCAGTGTTGGGGGTCTCGTTGGATTGCGACGCGGACTGGGGGACGTTCAACAGGGTGCGCTTTTGGTTCGAATCGCCTTCAGTAGGGGCAGACGACGGGCCTTGTGACGAGGATTGACCTGGAGCGAAGGAGTTGGTGGCAATGGCGTTTTGCATGGCAGCTGCATTGTGTTAGTAATCATGTCTTGGAGGGCGATGGTGGGTGATGGCGGTGGTGGTGGTGTTGGTGTTGGTGATGATGATAGATCCAAAACATACCAGTGCCGTTGGCCTGCTCCGACGACC